TATAGTCAATCGCAGTGGACTTACTTTTCCTCTTTCTTTTTCATCCTCATTTTGCCTGTATTTTATCCCTTACATAGTTATGTTCTGTCACATTCCTCTTGATGTCCTCTTGGATACTACATTTCAGCTAAATTTATTATCGTGATTTTTTTTTTAATTACCGGTATGTGTTTTTCTGTCGTTTGTTCGCTAGTGAAGGCTTCTTGCCGAAACGTTCTGTGTTTTGTTGCGGTTTTTTTTGTTCACGTTTTTCCCATACTTTATTTCACCTACGTCCAGGCTAGTGCAGCAGTCTCTTTTGCTTAACTCACCAAGATTAGCTTTAGTTTTAGTGTAGGTTCCTCCGGCCAAGGGCACTGCACCGCAGAATGCAATCAGCGCAGAGCAAAATATTGTTTCCAAGCTCTGGGGGAACGCACTTCTTCTTTGGGACTTTTTTCGTATCCTATAAAATCATGATACCTGGTCATCAATATCTTTCTCAGTTATCTTTGAGAGAGTACATTTTGGATCTAAATATTTTTTCTCATACGAAGTATTTTCAATAAGTTTTAACCAATCAGAGCTTACGTAGACATCCTCAATCTATTATACGAAAAATATAATATAGACTAAACCTTGGATATCCCCCTTTACCCCTGTTCCCATTGAATGGGACTGCAACCCAAATGTAGTCGCCGATGATTTTCTCTGGGCTGGCAGTATGCAATAATACACCCAAACAAAAACTAATTTTTAATCTGTGTATTGATAAATTTTGACTAGTTTTTATAATATTTCTATTTCAAACCATTATTTTTGATGAGTGTTCTTTTACCATTTAATTTTCATTTTTTTTTAAATTGTTATTATTTTTATTTCTTTTTTTATCGATGTTGCATCTATAAATTGGGATCGTATGCCACTTTGCTTCTATAATATTGGATCGTGTTTAAAAAAGGTTTGGGGGGGGGGGGCTTTGTCCAAGTGAAACTGTGTTTATACTATTGTGTAGGTTGATATAAAGGCCTACGATGGACTCACTTTAGAGATAACTGTCCACTTTTACAGTGCTACAAAACAACCACTTAATGCTTATCTATTCGTTTGGCAAAAAGTGCTCGAAAAGATAATATCTAACGTTCATTTTAAAATTTGCGAGCTACGATAATGAGTAACGGGGTGACTTTGCCTACTTTTGGCCTTTAAGCATAAATTTAACTGATCTAAAAACTAACACAACGGTGCTAATGTACAGAGTGGGTACCTGCACTTTGTTGTTATAGCTGAATTAAGTCATAGTTTGATCAGGTCAAGTGATAATTAAGTTTTTTTTTAATTATTGAACCTAAAGAAAAATGGGGTGACTTTGCCCTTTTAAAGTGAAAGACAGCACATTGCATGTAGAATTTATAAAAGCAAGCAAATAAGTTATTTTCTTTTCTGTATTTACTGTTTGATCATAATATTTTATTGTAATGAAAGGTTGGAAGAAAATATTAACACCAGTTCACATAAAAAATTATTCTCTGTGATCTATTCTTTCGAGGCTAATCTTCGTCATAGATTTTCGCATTTACGCCATCCAATGAAAGCTTTAACTTGTGAATTTGTAACAGTAGACTGTAACTAATTATAATGTCTTTCCTATTATCTCAGCTTATATCTTTGGCACATAACATCCTCATCTCATTGTACAAAATCCATTCACCAAGTAATCTCGAAGATCCGTATCCTAGAATCCTTTCGTCGTCATCAAGATTGGTCCATAAATAAAAAATTTAGGCCAAAACGTCCATTTTTTCTAGTTGAGGCATTCCAAAATCTAATGATGTCTCTTTAGGTGCTTTACTAAGTTTACTTTAATTCTTCTGACAAAGAGCTTGCCCTCCAGTTGTTTTCTTGTGGCTACAGAAGATTTACTAACTTTAAAGAGTTATTAAATCAATTGTGTCTTTCCCTTTTAGATGACTTCTATACTATAGGCCTGGTAGTTGATTATCTTTTACAATTCATCCTTATCATTAAGCTGATTGTCTTCAATATAGCCTCTTTAGCTTCTGTTAATAGGAATTATCTTGGCATAATGATCTTGAAAAACAAATAGAGAAATCAATGTTTTTTAAATAATGTATCAGTCCGTGGGGTGACTTTGATTGTATCAGTCCGTGGGGTGACTTTGATTGTATCAGTCCGTGGGGTGACTTTGCCCGATGCTGTGAATAAAGAAAAGCAATATCAATAACGATTTATTAAACTTTAACTTAACTAACAAAATAATGAACCCTTTTTAACACTGAAATTTCTACAAATTAAATGTATAGGCAATAAATTATAATACCTTAAAATAAAAGTTTAAAATCACATAAAACATCAAAGTATCGATGTCCATAGTCTAAGAGCTCAAGCAGTCAGATCTTATGGTTTGGCATGATAAGGAAAGCGAAACGACATATAGCAACATGTCTTCTTTCATAGTAAGTTAAAAAATTAGGGGAAAGAACTCAAGAAAATTATGAAAAATAACTTTCTCAAAATAAGTATTAAATAGGCAAAGTCACCCCCTTCAGGCAAAGTCACCCCGTTTCACGGTAGGTCAATTATTAAGTTAAATGTGCTTTTATTTCTTTTAGCCTTCCATTTAGTGAACGATTTAGTCACTGGTTTATTTTTTTCTACTCAGCAAAGAAAGTTGCTTTAATAAAAGTGAGAAAACACGGGTAAAAACTATTTTTAAAACAATTTCATGTTTTTTTATTACATTAATTAATAATAAAGAATGAGTTTTAATAATTCTAATTTTTTTAAATCTGCAGTAATTCGTGAAATTGCATTTATCGTCATGAATATTTTCTTTAATTGAACGAATATTAATTTGGATAGTTGCTCTTGAACAGCTCTTGTTGTTTATTTAGAACAATTTTATTCGTGGGTCTGAAAGAAGATATGGTCGAACCTTGGGGGTCGGTTTGATTGTACAAGGTCTAGGTGGTTTACATGTATGATCAATGTGGCCTATATTTATTATCAAGGTGGCCTACATGTTCAATCCAGATGGCCCACGTGTAGACCTGCCAGCCGAATTTTTTTTTTTTTTAAATTTCGGCTGGCTGACAAAATTTTTTGGCTGATATCCGGATAAGCCGGATTTCTCCTGTAAATTGACATTTGCGGCTAATTTTCGGCTGATTACGAAATATTCGGCTGAAATTCGGCTGAAGCCTGGCCAATAATGAAGTAATAAAACTTCAGCAATAAAACACTTTTACAATACTTCAGAAAAAGTTTTATTATTTCAAACAATAGAAAAAAAAAAGGTTTATATGCTGTCCTACTAATATAGTGTATGAATGCATTCCATTCATTCAGTTTCTGTCACCCAATACCTGATACCTTAAAACGGAACGCCATGAAATTTAAGAAAGCAAAAACATTACGTTACGGCGACTCGTTCATTTTTCGGCGGATTTACGGCGAACGAAATACGGCGGCTAATGCGGCGCGCCGTATATTTTCCGGCGGTTTTTTTGGCGGACGAAAATTCGGCGGCGTTCTCGGCGCGCGGCGTCGGCTGAGGGGTCTACCTACGTGCATGATCAAGAGTGCCTACATGTATGATCAAGGTGGCCAACATGTATGTTCAAGGTGGCCTATATGTTTGATCTAGGTGGCCTACATGTTTGATCAAGGTGGCTTACATGTATGACTGCAGTATTTCAGCAAAAAAAAATATAAAAAGGGGAATTTAAAAAATGCCACATCACTCAGGAAAAAATATTTCTGACATGAACACATTACATTAAATTGATTAATTTATTTTAGTTTCCAAATTAATTATTAATTGATGAAAAAACTTTTAATTGCACCACTGTCTTTTTTCACATCAGTGAGAAGCATTAAACTGCTGTTTTTCTGACATAATGACATTTAGTTCAGGATTAAACTTAGTTCACCAAAATTGCCTAAAATTGTTCATCAGATAAGATTGCTCAGTATCTAATTGTAAATGTTTTCTCACACAAGTAGATGGTGCCAAAGACTGAAGTGAAATCACAAGCAAATGATTTTAAATGAGGAGCTTCATCATGTACCTGAGATCCCATTTTAATATTTGTTTCTGTCGTTTTCATATATTTTGACTGCAGATAAATAACTTCAATTTTAAGTTCAGTTGGATGCTCATACCACCATCAAACGGGTTTTAGATATTGTTAATTTTCCTTAACTAGCATCGATTTTGAAAAAAAAAGGTTGCATAACTTATCAAGTTAGAGATCACCCTTTGCATAAACTCGTGTAGAAATGGGCCTGTTGCTTCTTGCCAGCATTTTTTACACCATGGATATTGAGTGAGGCTACCCCTCATCAACTTGGACTCGAATAACTGAGCCACCTAAAATAAGTGTCGAAGAATAAGTCGGGATATCTTGTTTTTATTTCCGTTTAAAATTTTGCAAAACTGATGATTGAGGTCAAGGTTACGAATAAAGTTCATTGTTGAAACCACAGGTTCCATCACACAAGATAAGTTCAGATATTTTCCACACTGAGTCTCTATGATGGCAAAAAATGCAATGAACATTCTCAAACTTGTAACATTTAACACTTTGAATAGCATTGCAAATGTTTCCGAGCCAAACCTTTCCCTTTACCACACATGTTTTACCACCATCTGTTGTGACGCACTCCAGTTTTCTCCAATCAAAATTTTACTGAGCAATGTATGTTTCTACCTATTTGAAATTGTCCCCCCCCCCAACTTCAATATAGCAATTGAATCCGCAACTAAAAATAAACAAAAGTGAAGTATCAGTTACATCTATAATGGCCATGGAAAAAACATTAAAACTCTTTCAAAAAGTCTTTGCCTTCATCTCTCAGTTGGAACACGATATTGCCTCCATTTCACGAATCACTCTTTACACTAAAAAGTTAATAGTCTTAAATAAAAATACATATTCAAGACACATTTCTTCAGCTATTTCAAATAACATAACAATATTATTATTTAACTTAATGCGGGTTGGATCCGGCCCGCGGGTCGTAGTTTGCCGACCTCTGGTTTATGGCATTTTCACCCTTGGTGGTCACCCTTCAGGCAGGAGTGATCATTGTTGATATTCAGTTTTATCAGTAATTTTAATTTGACTGGACAATTGTGTAATTAGACTTCCATTAGGTAATTACATAAATATTAAATTTAGTTTGTATGCTTTCAGTTTTGCTCTGATAACAACAACGCCAAAATTACTTTAATGAGTATTCTCAATTTGCGATGAAATTTGTAATTTCAAGCGAGGGGTATTAGTATTAGTACGGCACTGTATGTCAGTATGTATTTTATTATTAGTAGTTAGTTTAATTAGTAGTATTTTATAAATTATAAAGTATGTCTTGCTTTTGCCTTTTAGTTTTACATTTCATTTATTTGTTTTGCTGGCCATTCCTGATTCCAGTGCCAAGCAACTGATCTAGTAGCTTACTTTAGAATGTTATCATCACTTGGTGACTTGGTGCATTACTACTACTACTACTTCAATGATTCAATGTCGACAGTTTCAGTTAACTAGTCTAGTCAAGTCAGTCTACTTTTATAGAATGAAGTAGTCTAGTCAAGTCAGTCTACTTTTTTGAATGAACTCAGTGTTGTCTTAAGTCTAGCCTAACACTAGGCTACTGCACTGCACAATACAATATAGGTTTGAGTATTATTGACAATATTCAGTTTAGTGTAGGCTTGGGGTTGACTTTTACTTTCAATTTATTAAATTTATAATTATAGAATAAAGTCTCTTCAATCTGTTTATGATTATGTGGTCCTACTAAAATCTTACTCTTTTAAAATTTTAATCATAAATTAAATTAATTGACAATCAATATTGCCATGTCATGCATTATTTTTAGGGCATGGTGGCTTGGTTTAAAGTTTAGGGCCTATGCCTATACTATAGACTATAGCCTAAGCCGCTATGTATTATTAGAGTTGTCAGTTAGAGGTAAGTTAGAGGCATTTTAGACTATTGTCAATAGAATTATTATTTTTTCGTAAAAATCATATTCATTAGTCATTATATTAGTAATTTTTTTATTAGGATTAGTCATAATAATATTTGGTAAGTGTATCAGGTATAAATTACTCGGGTTGCTGATGTAAAATTTTAATTTTAACATTATATTGTTCATATATTTGTATAGATTTAAATATTAATGCAGACATTTGATCGTGTTATTAATGACATTTCACATATAGCTGTCTCCCAAATTGTGAACAATAGAAGGCACATTATCATGCTAATACTATAAATAGTTTATATATAGTATTATATAGTAGCATCAGTTGTACATCCTATTAAGGAAAATATATTTTTCTAACATATCACTGATCACATATATAAAACTGTCTACCAGATAGTGATCCATCTCAATCATACTCAATGGAAGGAAGATAATCATGACATTCATGATATTAGTATTAGTATTATTAGAAACTCTTCATAATATCATTCATATAGAAACTCTTGTTTTTTCTCTTCATACTATTAGGTATGCAACAACTGTGTTAAACTTGTCTGTTAACATTTCACAGTTATCCCTATTTATTTTTATTTCAGATTCTTTAGCAATGCAGCTTTGGGATTTTGGACAAGTATTTGGAATACTGTGTGTATTGATTGTTATATTTGCAGCAAGTTGGGTATATTTCCGAACCAATATTGGAAGATGTCACAGTAGTGTAGATCTTTCAGGAAAAACTGTGATTATCACGGGTGCTAATGTAGGTTAGTTTCCTTTTTATCCTAAAAATGAAACAGCAAAAAGATTAAAGACTTATCAGCTTAAGTTAAGTATATTTTTATTTATTTCAAATATAATTTCATATTTTTTAAATGATTGCTCATGCAGTTTTTTTAAATCTAAAAAATAATAAATTATTACATCTTTAAGGTATTGGCTACTACACAGCCCTAGATTTGGCACGACGAAATGCACGAGTTATATTGGCATGCCGTAATAAAGAGAAGGCTGAACAGGCCAGAGATGAGATTATTTCAAAGACTGGGAACAAAAATGTTGTGGTCAGGATTGTTGACCTTTGCCTTATGAGATCTATAAGGAACTTTGCTAAGGAAATTATCGATGAAGAACCTCGCCTTGATATACTTATCAATAATGTTGGTGTTGTCAGTAAGTTTAAATAAGACTATAGCAGTAATTTTCAACCTTATTTATCTTGGACCAACTAGAACAAAATTTTTAGTGAGGAGCATAGTCCAAGATTATTTAATTATTATTTATAGTAATAACAGTAGTCATATACTAGCTGTGAAGGGTCATAGTGTAAGTTTCTTATTACCGGTACTTTGTAAGTAAGCCTTTTGCCTGCACTGAGCACTGATTAAAATTTGTATATTAGTGGTTTTCAAACTTTTTCCTGCCACTGCCCCCTTGACTGCTTATAAGGATGAGTCCTTATAGGCCTCCCACTCCATTTTAGGCATCCTTGGTCCAGTATTTTGTACCACCCTCTAAGAAAGATGAGAATGCAATAAATTTTAGTAGTGAAACTTATATTTGAACTTTTGAACAAAATAACAATAATGTTTTTTATATTAATTCAATAATAAATTTATTATCTTGAGCAAGCTGTGTCATAAGTGGGATTTATAAAAAGCTAAAGTTTTGAATACCTTATGTTTTCAATGTTCAATTATTCTAAAATTTGTGTATACAATCATAGGGAAGACAGATTCAGTTTTAACAGATCAATGTCATTCTCTTGCAACTGCTAATTTATTTTATTTGAATTCTGCAAATATTTATGCTAACTAAACAAAGTTTTTTTGTGTGATATCTTTGAAGTCTGTATTAAGAAAAGCATTTGTCCTTCAAAAACAATTACACATCGATTAACTATCAGTTAACTCTACTCATCTTTGGCCTATTAGTAAACTCCATTTATTACAATATTATTTTGTGCCTTGCTAAGTGAACATATATTGTTTTCATCATGGCTGGTACTTCTGTTGAAATGATTGACCACAGATCTCTCCAGATTTTTTTCCCAAACCTCTAGCTGATGTCTATCCTCTTATTTTATCCAAAATTGCCAAAAATCAAAACAAATACTCATTTTTTTTATTTTAAAATTTAATTTAAAAAATGTATTACTGATAATAATACACCTGGACCCCCTTTAGTAATACACAAACCCACTCCCTTAAATCTACAGCGCCTTTCAAAACCAGCTTTAGAACCGCTGTTTTATTTCAAAATAATGTGACACCACTGTGAAACTTTCACTACACACCATAATCTAAAATACATAATTTTATTTGTGTACACACAAAAAAGACCTAATTTTTGCAAATTTTATACCATTTACGAAAATTATATAAATTATGTATACATTTTTTTTGTTAGTTACCAAATGAAATTAAATTTTCTTTGGATAGATGAAGGAAAGGCAAAAGTTCTTACAGATGAAGGCTTTGAGAGGTTGTTTGCAGCAAACTATTTTGGACCATTTCTTCTGACCAACTTACTGCTAGGTGACCACCATAGATTTAATTATTGAACACAGTGAAAATATTTTAATATTTATTACAGTGTGCTTTAAAAATGTATTTTTTATTAATTGTTTTATTTTTTAAAATGTAGACTCTAGTGGGCTTTAAAAATACTTTTTTTTTTAAAATAATTTTTAATACGGCAATTTACTTTCATCTTTAAAGCTAAATTTTCATAAACTAAACATAAAATTTAAGAGCTCAAAATATTGGAAAACATGAACATTCTTATAGTCATCTTACATTAGGTATGAGACAAACTTTTTTGAAATTTATTGAACTGAAATGTGTACTTGTCAGATCTCATGAAGAAATCTGCCCCAAGTCGCATTGTTAATCTTTCTTCAACGGTCAACAAGTATGGAACAATTGAATTTGACAACTTGCAGGCTGAAAAAAAGTTTAAACATCACCACCGTTACTTTGACAGCAAATTGGCTGTTATTCTGTTCACACGTGAGCTTGCCAAGAGGCTTGAAGGAACAGGTAATGTTCAAATAATGTTGTTTTTTTTTATTACTATTTCAGATTCATTATTTCTACATAAATTGGAAATAATGCAGGGCAAAATATACTTGGTTAAATTTCACTTCGTGATGTTTTTAGTTAACGAAAACTGAAGTTATTATTGTTTTGAAAGTTAGTATTAATCAAATGATAAATGGCAAAATTTAGATATGTTAAAGACATGTCTGGAAAATACATTTCTTTAATATTAAATGCAATAAAAGATTTTAGTTTTTAAAAATGATTGCTTCTTTCAGCAGCAGATCAGATTGTTTATCTCAATAAACAATCTTAAATTGTTAATAAATTTAAAAAATGAGAATATTAACAGAAAATGATTTTTTCCAAATGATTATTTACCTTTTTTTTCCAATGGTGCTGAGCCTGCAAATTGTATATGCCTTTAAGTATTTCTTTATAAAATCTATACTGGTAACTATGTACTTTAATATTTTTTCCTGCCTGTTGTACCATTTCTAAAAGTAAACGAAATTGATAGATAACGCCCACATTACTGAAAAATTAAAAACTTTTTTAATTTTGCTTAAATATTAATGTGTTCATCAAAAAGCTTATACAGATACCTTGATTTTTTATTTAATCTTGAGTATTAAAGAAGGAAATCAATCTGATCTATTTTTCAGGTGTGACTGCCAATGTATTGCACCCTGGTAGCGTTGCCACTCAGCTACTGAAGCATATGTTTGTTATTATCCGAATTCCTGTACAAACATTCATTAAAATTTTTTGCAAGGTAAACAACACCTCCAGAATTTAAGAAAATTTCAAAATTTTTATTACATTATCTTATTCCTGATGGCTGTGTCAATTCAGTACTTAATTTATTCTCCTGAACGAACAAAAATTACTCCGTTTTGCAATTCATTTACATTTGTAAAATATAATTTTTTAGCTGCTAAATATTAGTTAATATTAATGAATTAAGGATAAATGCATCCAGAAATGCACCCCTAGTTAAAAGTAAAAGACGTAACTTTAGGGGCAAAAGCTTTGGCCTATAATCGTAACAATAAGGTACCGGTACTAAAAATATCTATAAAAAAAATTATATCCCGCTCTCTCTAGACTGGTGAGGAGGGTGCACAAACTAGCATCTACTTGGCTGTATCTGAAGATGTTAAAGACGTCAGTGGAAAATACTTTGTTGACTGTAAGATTCAAGAAAACGGAGCCAATCCATTGTCCCGTAATATGGAAGTTGCTGAAAAACTGTGGAGAATTTCTGAGGACTTAACAGGACTTGCTGAAAAGAAAACATCTTGAAAAGTGCCAAATATTTTAGCATGAACATATATTTTCTTTTTCAAGTTAATAATTAGGCCATCCAGCTTAGGTTTATGGACAGGTTAAATCTGTACCCTGATATGATTTTGTATCAACTATGCATTTATACAACAATTCTGTCCATCTTGGCTGTACATTTTATCCAAGAAAGTCAAGATTTATTTTTATACCGTGTTGCACAATTTTTGTTATATTAAATAATCTCTTAAACAAACTTAGATTTAGAACTATTAAGACATATTCCTGAAGATGGAGAGGTTTATTGAGTCACCATTTTATTTACTTAAAATGTATTATATTTGGAATGAGTTATGAATATACATGTTTTTAAATGTACTTCATCAAAAAGGAAAGTGAAAAGACGTGAGATTAATTCACTGTGGTTTTAACTTTTGAATGAAATCCACGCTGTAAAAGGGTACATTATTAATTTATATGTGAAGGGATCAAGACCATGTTTTAAACTGCATTTGTTCAACATATATTTAGTGGAAATATATTTTGAATGTAATTTATTGTATTTGTATTATTAAAAAGTCCCATGGTTCAGTGCAATCCAATTATTATTAAAAGGGTTGCATCTCTCATTTTCAATATCAAGTTTTAAGGATGCTGTCACCTTTTGAAGAAATAACAACATGTAAAGACCTCAAGGTGTGATTTAGAATTATTTGTTTAATGAAGATAAATAAATAGCATGCCTGTTAACCTGTGCACCTTGGAAGTGTCTTGGGAGCACCAGCATTATGCATTATTTTTTTAAAGATTTTTATTGTAAAAAACCCAACCGTCTCAGTGCTTTTTTTCTTTTAAAAGGACTTCACCTACAAGTAAGTGTAGGCCTCTGGAACATGCTAGATTAAATTTAATATCTTCCGTGAAACATGTAAAAAATTACTTTGCTACGTAATTATTTCTCTAATGCGAAATATTATACAACTAAATTGTACTACTATAACTATCTATAGTTAATTTAAATTGAATTTAATAAAGTACCGTTTTTTAATGGGGGGCGGCTATAAAAATCATTCGGATAAATTATAGAGTTAAAGTTTAACATTCGTCCCATGACTAAGTAGTAAAATAAATTGTCAGAACATTTAATGCTATCAGTCAAGGACGAGCAGATCAGTGTTTATCTAGGTTTGAGTTTGAGAGGTTTTCTGTGAGCAATCACCAAACAACAAAACGAGATATGCTTATTTTACAGAGTCCAAGTGATAAATGAAATCATCAAAGTGCTGACAGAGGAGCAGCAGTATGAGGCCACAGTTTATCAATATCGGCAATTAAAAACTTTATATTTAAAAATGCAGCAGGTTGAAAAGATGTCTTAAGTAGAATTAATAAAAAGAAACTGAAGCACTAGATGCAGTGAAGACTGTTTATTGCATTGTTCACAAGATAAAGCGAAGATCCTATTACCTGCTGAAGTTTTGCTCTATCATGCTGTGATATTAATGTTATGTAAATGCAGGGGCTAAGAGTTTTTGACTCAGAAATTGTTTTCTGTGGTCATAACAAAGGGGACCCAACCTATAGACTAAACACAATTGGTACAATCCTGTTCAAAAAAGAAAGAGGAAAAGAGGAGCTGTGGGTTGAGCATAAAGATGGCACCAGAAGTGTTAAAAACTGTGTGTGCATGTAAAAGAGTGATTGTATAACTAAAGAAGGTAAGACTTAGTTGTGTCACAAAACTTCTCTCAGTACAGTACAGTACCTGGGAAAGCAGAAACATGCTCAACCATATACATGAGGTAGCGTATCAGTACCAAAGGAGGTTAATATGTGGGAGACCATAGTTAATGTAATAATTTTCACACTATATAATTTATGGAGAAATGAAAGTCTAAACAGTAATCATTATACTTATACCCTTTTTAGACTTCCAAGTAAACTTTAGAGGGCATATTGGAATTCCATAATTATTAAAAAATAGTTAATGGAACTTTGGAAACAGTTGAATATCCTCATATTGAAAATGTAATGCAATATATATTTGATCCCCATAAGGTGTATAGATAAATGTAGTGTCTATTGTTCAAAAATTAATTTATATTAGAAGATAGTGATAAAAATTAACAAAAGTCATACAAATGCAATATTTTATTTGCAAAAATATATACACAGCTATTGCCATAACCAGCCTGAATTAACAGTTCTATGACTATGAGGGTCTCAAATATAAGCATATTTCATCTTTTTTTTTTTAAAATGTCAATCAATGATAGCGAAGCCAGTGTAATTCATCTATAAATTTCTCTCATTAGCAAAAATTTGTATCAAACATTTGAAGAACAACCGACACTAAAGAGATTTAATTTTATAAGACATTTTTGAATTATAAGTAATAGCTTTACTTACATTTCATAAATTTCAAGTGGTGATATTTATTAATTACAACTTGTGGTTAAAACAAAACTATTTTAAACATATTTACAGAACAATACTGTGCCAACTATTATTAACAAAGGAATGCTTTGAATATAGAAGGCCTGTCAATCAAAATGGCTTAGTTGAAATTAAAGCTTTTAAACTTAAACTTAATTTTTTTCTTTTCATCTTTCACACAATTTATCTTCACAATTACATTTTTAAACAATACAACAAAAATTTCATTCTTATCAAACTTTAATGTAAACTAGCTCATTCGTTGCAAATATCTGTGCAATTTTTACTTCACATCATCTTTTTTCAACTGTTAAGTAGAAACATTTTAACAAGCTAGAAGATACAAATAAATGGTAAAAATTATTTTTGGCTTGTAACTCACAATGTTGAAGTCCAATCTCAGGGTTATAGAATACATTTTTTAAATTAAAAATTTGTTTAATTTAAAAAATGATCATATTCCAGCTGACATCCTGGCTTATTACATAAGGTATCTCTCCAATTCTTAATACTAAGAAAGTCATTTCCAAATTAATGCAAAGCATTTATGGCTTCACTCAGTAAGATTACATGGGTCTATTTCCAGCAGTTTCAGTTGCGGTTTCAGATAAATTCTGCTGAAGCTGAACAAGCCAACGTTTTGTGGTATTGTCATCCTTAAGACAGGTTTGAAAGGTGGTATCTTTAAGCTGATCTGGTAAACATTGACGAAGTGCTTCTCTTGCTCTGATTTAATAGAGAAATAATTCTTTTGAACTTGTGAAATAAGCCTTTAAATAAAAATAAATTGTAATGTTGAAAGTAAAGTTTGTTGGAACCCCACTATAATTATGCAAATTTGGATATAATATAATGCTCCCAAAATGTTGTATTTTCAAACAAGAGTTAAAATATTTAGTCTAATACAAATACACTACAACTAGCTCAACTTCAACATCAAGAGCTTAAAAAATAAAGGCTTTTTAAAACAAAATTACCCATGTTCCTACATTTTAAGAATCCCAAAACTATTCGCAGGGAACATTATAACGTGATCCAATTTATGGATTCAGATCATCATGAAGTTTAACTGTATATCAAAATCACCCTGGTCAAAATAACTTACCTAGAATTATCAGAAAGACGAAGGTAACAACGAACAACATGTTTCAGTAAGCGTGCTGAAGGTTCTTTTGAAAGTGAAAGCACCATTTTACCCTAAGAGGATCAAAAATATTTAAACAAGCTCATTCAAATTTTTTTTTTACTGTCAAAGGAATTTTATATCATTTCCAGCTATTTCAACTTAATATTGTTCAAATTCAACTAAGCCAAACCATTTCAAATGAGAAAAAAAACTTACCAAAATCATTGCCACATGTGAAAAACGTTCATAAGTGTGACAAATATATGACAATCCAGTCTCATCTAAAAGAATTTTCTGTAAGATGAAAGTTGCAACCTGAAAGCAAAATCATCTTTATTAAAAGATTTTTAAATTTATACTCACGGTATAAAGCTTTAAGTAATAGTTGCCTAACTTTTTGGACTATTTTAGGCAATTATTGTATGAAAAAACCCAAGCACAGATGTATGCTTTCCACCATTTACAAACATATCTTTTATGTACACAGACTGATAACTGAATCAGCTCAATTTTGCCCATAGTCACAAAGCTTACATGATTTATTTCACGGTAGTGAAAATGAATCTAAACAAAATCTGAAGTGATGCCATACCAAAGAAAGTAATCTGTCAGGTGCTACAAAAGTACATGTTGAAATACACACTTACAGTTTTAGATAGCTCACTGCCACCTTCCATGATTCTTAAACAAAGAGGTATAATCTCTGTGTTCAGAAGGAAGTTAATCACTTCTTGCTCATCAGTCTGCAGATATATAATGATTCTAATTAAACATAAACTTCATTTTAAAATATATACATTAATCTTCTAGTCTCTTATTCTCTACAGTGGGTTTACTGGGGATTTTTTTCAATTCAAGTTACATGTCTGCATTAATTTACAATTTTAAGGTCATATGTTAAGCCTGACTGCATAAGTGTGTTTTTGAAGATACCTTTTTGAATATAGAGCTGTTACATTTGAGGATTAAGGATATGATAATCAAAGTCACCTACCCTGTTTTCAATATTAATCCTCATAGGTCACAAGGTAACCATGTTGAAGTCTTATTTCTTGAAAAAATAACCTAATTTAACAAAATGTCATTTTGTTTGTATACTTTACCTTGACTAAGGCACCAATTACACCAAGACTTGTAAGTCGTAAGTACTCAAATGGACGAGTTTTACTCACTGTATGCAGGAAGGGATACAGGAACAAGGGAATATGAGCTGGAAACCAAAAAAATAAGGTATATCAGTTTTGTTAATAAAACTAGTTAACAGTCATCCCGGCTCATGAGAAAGTCGATCGTGTGCACTGTGTGCAAACAAGTGCAAACACAGTGTCGGACCGACCAGGTGTCTTTGGGTTGGGGCGGCCCCCAGCGGAACCGGATCGAGCGGACTTGGTTGAGGGCTGTCCTAGCAAAGAGGCATCTCCAGCGTGCAGCTTTGTGGCTTGATACCGAGCTTAGCGGGGGTGCTTTGAGGAAGGCATAAGAGCATTAGCTCGACGGCCAGCTGACACCATTTCTTAATGTGACATTTCAACAGTCATGCTTCTCAAAAAATTCACTAAATAAAAGTCAATTATTTTTTTATAGAAATCGCTACCTCAATGGACCAAATTTAAATCCGAATACATAAAATATTTAACCCCCATGTAATGTCAACTTTTCAAACAATTGGACATGTTTTTTGGGACTTCGAAAGACTTACACCATCAAGTTTTTAGTGGACATATCTTAAGATGGCTTGTATTAAAACATTCTTAAGATTGGCTGTATTAACATTTAATCCCTTAACCGAGATTATATATGACCAATAACATCTGCACCTACACCATTCATGAAAATTCTTATCAAGATCAATAAAGGTTAATGTCAAGGTCAAAGGGGCACTTTCAAGTACAAAAACTGAGGAAAATATTGGTAGCATTGTTTTACCAACATGCATGTAAACATTTATTTACTTTTAAATTAATGTTAAAGTTTATCTAGTTTAAAGTTCATATAAAGGCAAGTGAGGGATTTTTTAAATAAAAACACTTATGAACAAACCCAGCTTGCTTGGGAACTATCACTAGAATGAGGCCCAGTGTCATCACCGGAGGGATGCGGGCTGCACAGGGTGATACCCAGGGTGCCAAAATAATAGGAAAAGTTTTTTGACAAATATTCTATATCTTAACAATTTTCACAGACTAGCAAAATTTTATGGAAAAATTTTTCAAGTTACGTTGTTGAAACAATATAGCTAAAAAAAAATTCACACCTGTACGGCCATATTTCTGTAACTCTATTTATCATGTCAAATATGAAACATGTATGTTTCTATTACCATAACTCTGTGTTATCTGACCATTAGGCATGAACTAATTTTTAAGCTTTAGCTTTTTATATGCCATTCTCACCAGTTTTCTGTCATATATGCATTTTGAGTATAAAAGTTTAAAGCAAGCTTCAAAAAATGTTTGATTGCCACATTTTTTGTACGGACATTCAAATGTTCTTTCAGACATTTACAGACATGTCATAAATTTACGGAGGGTTGGCAACCCTGAGAAGATCAAATGGAAAATTTAAAAAATAGCTCGCTAGAGTCGGTTTTATGACACATCCAAGTTAAATTCAAGAGCAGGTTCCAACAAACAGCGTGCCACTGCACAGAGTGCCTCAAGAACAGGTTGCCACAACAGCGTCTAGGGCATTTTTCCATTTGTTTAGTCCCGTAGCTTAAGTTTGTGATGCTCTAGGCAGGGTCATGATTTAGCGGTGTTCACTTTAATTTTTTTTTTAAATGAAAACTTAGCTCCTATGTCAATTTACTTTATATATTGTTATTTTAAAGTAACAGCAAATGTTTATGTTTTGTTTATAATTTTCATCGTTGTATGATATGTACAATATTTATGTCCAATCAAGGCTCAAGGGTATCTGGCCCAGGAGACAAAGTGAAAGATGGGTCAATATCAATATTTTATGTTTTAAAATTCATAACTTAGGGGAATTCTTAGAATCTCACAATCTTCTCATTAAGCCTGTAATAATTCTCACGATCTGTGTATCTGTGGTGCCATGTAAGATGAGCTTTTTAAAAATGAAACTTATAAATATCTATTTGCAATCAAAAATGAAAAAGTTTTGTCAGTTGAAGAAAAGAAAAAGGTGAGAAATGCTAACTTTGTTGAAGTGATTTACAGATTTGCATCTTTGAAGACCAGAAAAAGTATAGTTTTGTTAAGATTAATGCTTCAATATAAAGTAACTTTGATGCATTGATTGATGCATTGATTGATGCATTGATTGATACATTGATAATTGCTTTAACGATGTTACCTAAAATTCTATTTTGTCTTCTTAAGCTATTCTGTATGATTTGGTTAAGAATTAATTTGGGGGGGGGGGGGAGGGGGGGGGGGGGGGGGGTGTTTATAATGAATTTACCACACTGAATGGCATCAACCCTAGTGATTCCTCAGCCCTCCATCAATATATATTACATTAAGAAATAGCATCAGCGGGCCGTCCAGCTTGCGCTTTTTATGCCCTCCCCAACCTCTTCGCCTCCTATCCATTAAAGGCAACTTGTAATCATGATCCCTACCCTGTCTCTGCCTTTTCTTCCATTTGGGAATTATCCCATCTGGCATTCCTGTGGGAGCTGTTCTATGTACGGCAGGTACGGAGCACATCCCTTGTCTGCCCACGCGGGGCGCGCCCAGTAGTTGTGTTCCCCGGGTAACGTCGAGGGGGTCAGTGGCCGACGCCTCCTAATCGACAAGCCACCACAGACTTGTCAACCGGAGAACTGGGGGACCCCTCCATCAATAAATGATTTCACGTATCTAGGGGGTTATGGGATCATTTACTTGTGATCATTTGTGTTATTCAATTTGAAATCCCATCAAATATGCTATTTAATTAAAACAACTTCCACTTGTTTGTTAATTTTACAATTTATGAAATAGTCAAAATCGCAAATGAAGAAAATGGAGCCAGTGAAGATTGGATAGACAACAAGAGCATGGGTATCAAAACCACGGGATGAAGAGAAAGTTCATTTAATAATGATTAATTTTCCCCTCAATACTTGACCTAAGCACATAAAACCACTTGTCTCACTTTCTGCTCTTTTAACTTATGACAGTAAATTATTATCTAAACTGTAAGTAAGAGAATTCTTATTAACATTACCCAATCAGATTATAAAAATTATTTCCAAAATTGATATAGAAAAATGATGTCCTTGCCATTTTTCAAAAGTGAATTTGTTGGCTCACCAGCCACTGTGACTGTTATGACAGGTCGATTTTGTTATTTAGTGAAACCGTATGCACTCATATTCAAAATTGTACACCTTTTTTCTGAAGTTACATATTGTAGGTGTTGAAAGGATTAACATAATGGCTGTAACAGTATGAGTGACTGATGATTATTGTTGTGTGTATTTACTGAACTTTGTGACCTGATTGTCTTGTGTTGTTATGTTGCATGACTAGATGTGGTGAGTTGTTTTCATTAATTTTTAAAGTTAAATGTATGAATATCGGTTAAGGAACTGGAGAGTGAGTGGTCATGTGGGGTATAAAAAGAATGAAGAATAAGAATAAAGATTAGTTGTTGCACAGACCACAGCACTGAGTTGATATCTTATTATACTATTACAATGGCTTTGGTTTTGTTTAAAAAGAATATAACTAATTAAGTTGACGTAAAGATAAATTGCATATAAACATCAAATATTTTACATGCTATCATAATAAGCATTGCTTTAATTCAAATATTTTAAAATGATCAAAATCAGTATGAAAAATTTTGCCCATTTTATGAAAACCAAAATAACACACCTGAAAGGAAAACAGATCTTGTTTCTGGATGTGAAGCTACACATTGAAGTAAGGCTAAGGCATTGCAGACACGATTTGACTGTGATGCCTGAAATTACAAATATTTCTGAAATAAGACTATTTCAGGAGACTGTGAGCAGTGAAAATATATAACCATTAAAAAAAAAATTTAACAACATCCTTCATAATTAATGATATATCACAACTTAAGACAAACAACACTGCATTACTACAATAAGGATATTTCAATGCATACAGACACAAAAATGAAATAAAGACATCTAGAGATGAACAAATATACACTAACCGTTAACACTGGAGGGAGAATACAGGGGTAAATTTGTATAATTTCTTGTAAAAGTGCAGCTATAGTTCCAAAAGAATGCCATAATAAGGGAGCAAGATCCGGAACGATTTCACGTTTTTTGCTAGAAAAAAAATATTTTAATTTAATGTTCCCATTGCAAAGAAAAGACTGTCAAAAAGATATTAAAGAAAACAAATGTTATGAAATAATAATAATTATTATTATTACTATTAGGTGGTTTTATTTAGCGCAGCACCCCAGCCTAGGGCTAGGCTCACTGCGCTTCACATAAAAATTAGCAATTACTGAAACATATACATTTAAAAAAAACAAGTGAAAAGCTTGACCTCACCACCCAAGTACTATCTACCACTGTCTTGCCATGGACAGCACCCAGCAGAATCAAGTGTTGTTTATCAGTCAGAGTGGAGTGAGAATGAGTCGGTAAGTACAGTTTAAAGAGATGGGTCTTTAGGGCAGTTTTGAAGGCTGTGATAGTCGTTAAATTGTGGATGTGTAATGCGAGAGAATTCCATTATTTTGGGCACAGAAAGAGAAAGATCATTCACCATATGTTTTAGTGCGTGTTCTGGGAACAGAAAAAATATGTGTGTCTGTGGAGGAACGAAGCTTTCAAAGGTGCGTGCCTGTATAGGGAGCCAATTAAGTGAGTGAAGAAGAGGAGTGACGTGATCACATTTCTTTGCCTTTAGAGCTAACATAGTAGCTGAGTTTTTAACATTCTGCAGTTTTTCTATGAAATGTTTTGGTGAGCCTGACAGAAGAGAGTTACAATAGTCCAGACGAGGGAGAACAAGAGCACAGACTAGTGTTTTTGTTGCACTTACTTCGAGGCAGTGGCAGATGGAGCTTATGTGACAGATAGCGGTGTACAAAGAGCGACATATGTGAGGAAAATGATTATTGAGAGACATGTTGTCAGAAAGAATGTAACCAAGATTCCTAGCAGAGGATGTAAACTCTATATCGGAGCTACCTACTTGAAACGAGATGGGGAGAGCTGAGTTAGAGGATGAGTCACGATTATGAATGAGGAGTGCTTCTCTTTTGTCATCGTTAAGCTTCAACTTGCTGAGAGTCATCCATGACTTTACATCACCAATGCACTCCTGCAAGGTGTGGATTGTGGAATTGTCAGTAGAGGGATAGGTATGCTTGTATAGCTGCATGTCATCAGTGAATGACTGGCTCTCAACAGCATACCTCCCGAGCAGGAGGAGATATGGCCTGGTATACATTGTAAATAGGACAGAACTCAAAACGGATCCCTGTGGCACTCAGTACACCAAGTCAGCACTACCGGAGAGACAGCCATCAACAGCAACGGTCTGCATTCTATCGGAGAGGTAAACCGAAACCAAGCCAAAACTGAACTAGATATACCAAAATAAATTTCAAGGGTTTTGAAAAGTGTTTGATGGTCAACGGTATCAAAGGCTGCACTCAGATCTAACAGGACATCACATTAGTTAGAGTTACCTTAATTCTAAGAGGGCATTTTCACGAGTCTCAGGAGAAGATAGATCATTAATCCATTGATAAATTCTTTCCCTGTCTACCTGCATAGGAGGTTGTGGCATCATGGCTCTCTGAGTTAACATGAACATAAAAAAAATAATTAAAAGACAGGAGATTATTGTACACAATGTATAAAAAGGGTTTTAGTGCAAAAAGAAGATCATGGCCATTTGTAGTTGTGTGTTAAAAATACTTCTAATTATTGTGATTGTGGAATAAATATAACTATAACTTTGTAATGTCTGATGAATATAAAACTTAACAATAATAAAAATAACTTACAACCTGCTGTTGCACCAGTGGGTTCATAACGTTTAAGTTATCCAGTTTTATTTGTTTCCTATTCCTAGAGAGATGAAAAAATGTACTATGATGATTAAAATAGATTTTCACTTAAATTAAATAAACCACAACTTTAAAGCCTTAGACTCTGTAAGATAAAATAGACATGGGCACAGCAATAATGATTGACATTCATATTGAAGCCTTTTAAATGATTATTGGAAACTAGTTTTATACACACACATATAAAAAAAGCTTCCAATAATCATTTAAAACCTCTTCCATACAAGTGTCAATATATATATAATTAATATATAATACACATGCATAAGCCCATTTCATTTGTTTTCAATTTAGTACATTAAAATTATATGATCTAACCAAAAACATATAAGCTCGACTAAGTACTTTAGTCCAAAAAAAAATTATTCGATATTCCAAAAAATAATAAAAATAGTATTGTTGTTTGGAGCAAAATTTATTAAATAAATTAATAAAAATAAAACCAGAATCAAAATTCTACCTAAGTTTTTAAGCTTTTAATTTTTAAAATGCAAGGGCAAGTTCATTTACAATTTTTTTTACTATGTCATACATGGCCTGCGACTCCACATTTTGTGCATTAATATAAGCCCTCTTCCTATTTTTTTGTGAGCAAATATAACTGTCTTCCATATTAAATCTCAGGGAGCAGTGAATATTGATGCATATTTGAGCTAAGTCTCATTGATGTAGGTCATGGCCAGCTTGCGTTATGCTCATCCGTATTACGGGCATCATCATAAAATCACTTAGCCTTCTTTTGACCACACCGCCTTCAATTTTTTAATGGCCGAAGTTGACATTATTTATAAAATATTAAATTATTACCATATTTACAACATGATTAATCTAATGATGATCTCATTATTTCGTTACATAACATGCACATTTTTAACAAGTATTAAAGAAGCTATTTTTATACAGTATCATTTTTAGAGTTAATTTTTTTTTTCTGAAATGCTAAGGCTACATTCAATGATTCATCCTGAATATGTTTGGAAGTAAGCATTCCGCTCTTTCCAGAGTGAATGATGCCAAGGACAATTAGCATTCTACCCAATTGAATAATATGCTTAGGGCCCAACTTCTCCTACCCATCGATGAACTATTTTTTTACTCAAGTACAGACTCTTAAGTGAATGTGCAGAATGATACAAAAATTATAGGCAGTGTCTGTACGTCCGGCGCGCCTGATGTATATCTCCCGCACTATTTGTCCGGCGACCAAGTCAAATGACCGCCGTAACAAAGTGGCGAGAGATATTTTGTCCAGCAGTCTTGTTACGTGACCGCGAATGATTCAAAACTATTGTTAATTTTAAAATCTATTTCTCTACCAAGTAATGTACATCTTGCATGCAAATGATAGAAAAAAACTGAAGTGAAAGTGGCTTGTAAATATTTTTGTTCAGTTTGTTATTTGAGTTTGTGTACCAGCAACCCATAATATAATTAGGGGCAAGTATTCAGTATGGAGTAGGCAACCAATAAAAGTAAAAGATTTTAAATTGTAAAGTAAACATTTTAAATTGTTTAAATTGCTAAAAATATTTTAAAACTTATCATAAAACTACTGTTGCTAATGAACATGATAATATAAATATAATATAAAATATTTTTAATTAAAATGGGGGAAAAAAGGTTTTCCATGCGGGGAATCGATCCACAAATATAATATCGTAAAGCGGCCACACTACCACATGACCACACAAGATCTTCTAAATAGATACCTCCTTCGGAATAATAACGCCTACTAGTCGTCCAGCCGTCACGTGACATGCTCGCCGGACGCATATCTCCCACACTATTTGTCCGGCGCGCCGGACGTGTAGACACTTCGAAAATTATATTTACAAAATAATCCATTTATCAAATCAAAGAAAAAGCCGTAACCTCCAAAAATTTGAAAAAAACTTGTATGTACTGATGCATATTTCCAATACAAATTTTGAAGTAGTTCAAGTCGTCTTCCTTGCTTTACAAAAATACCTAGTTGAGAATGGGCCTGCTGCCTAGGCCTCATCAGATATTTTAAAAGCTTTTATTTTGATGTTTTCAAAACAACAAAAAACAATATATTAAATCGCAGCTACTAGTACTATAACTAATGCTAATAGAGAGATAGCATCGTGGCCGCCATCTTGGTTCCCTCAACCCGCGAACTTATGTCCTAAATATATCCCTAAAACTAACCTGAACCCTAAACTTAACTAAAACAACCTGAATCCTAAACTTATATTCTAACCTGAACTACTTAAACGTATCCCAAACGAAGGTTTTGACCCTATCGGAACCAGGGACAAAACACGCAAATGACGTCAGGGTGCTATCTCTCCAAATTAGCCAGTGTGTTTTTTTTTTAAGGCAGAATAGTATTAACTTGTACCGCGAGTTTCTCTTGAATTCGGTGTCGTCGTCTACAACTGCTTGTCCATAAACATAGTGAAAAGGAAATTCTACAATTAAATGAAGGCACGCAGTAAATTTTTGTCTACACGCACGTAAACGTTTCCAGGTTTAAAAAAAAAATTAAAAAATTAAACTCAAGAAAGATTCCCTTTTAAAAAAAAACAATATTCGTGAGCGATTGTATTCTTATCAGAAGTTACCAAAACATACATTTCTATAGTTAAAGATTAAAATAGAACATTAATTGGCTTTGGTTATAAATTAAATTACCCTCTTTTGGCAAATACATTCATTAGGCATATTGAAGTATTGCAGTAATTGCCAAGCCCCAAGACAAAACTGCCCCGACAAACCAGCGCAGACACAGCACCCTACAAAATTTATATGAATTAATAATTACAACTTGCAAGATTTATGATTATTTGTTTGATAAATATGATGTAAACTAATTTTTTTTCAATTTTTTTAACTATGTATTATTTGCTGCGTACATCAATCTTTGTTATGATCAGCTGCGAAGAAAACCAGCCCAACAAAATAACAAAAGCAAAAGCTTATGTCCAAAGACAGTAGATTTAACAGTGATAATTTAAAATGCAGAGAAATCAACGAATCCTGGCATAGTAATTATGCACTTAACACCATCAAGGCCAATTTATTATATTTTATAGTACAAAGTCATAGAGAATTTGTAATGGGAGATATGATGATATAATATGAATTAGTACTTAAATGTTAAGTCAAAGTCTCAGTCTGACTAGTAAAGTGAAAGTGTAAGTCGTAGCAAGTTAAAGTTATTAGTAAGTAGGCTAGTTAGTAGTAGCCGTAGTAGTTTTTAGTAAATATACTACATAGTACTAATGTAAAATATTTAATAAAATAGTAATTATACTGTTACTTAGACTTAGGTAATAATACACTACTTAGGTAGTAATACACTAATTAATTCACTAATAATAATAGTAAATAGTCTGACTCTGACAATGATGTGGATGTGTTTCAGTTTTAGGTGTTCAATTAATAATTTTGGCCTGTCTATAACATAACTTCTATTTAGACCTTAGACTATTAGCATTATTTATTGTTCTATTACTTATATTATATATGAATCACAGTACAGATACTTAATATCAGCTCAATCAGGATGAATACTTTCTCTACTAATAACTAATAGTAAGGCGTAAGGACTAAAAGATATAAAACTTCTTTTTTTCCTCAGTCTGGAGGAATTTACCAGTGTGCCCCCCCAACCCCCCCCGCCAGCAATTACCAAATCTAAATGATAGCTAATGAAGTCATTTTTGTCACCAAAGGAGTTCACTGATTGCTTGATTTTCTAAGTTAGAGAAATACCTTAGTTAGATGTCTGGTGTTTAAATTGTTATATAATTGTTAAATGTTGTCTTGGTTTAAATGTATTTATTCATGTGCTGAAAATGAATATGTACAATGTAATTTTTTTTAAACATTTTATTGGTATAAATAAAGAATCTTATCTTATCTTAATTACTGCCCTGCATTAAATTAAGTAGGCTAAAAATTAAAATTGTCAACTAATAGCCTAAGTGAAGGATAATTCGAGTAAATACTAGGCTAAATAATTAAGTAGACATTACTTTCACAATATATTTTAAGGCCTGTATCGTCAACTTTATGATATTCTTACCCCTCCTAGCCCAAGTTACAATATTAATTGTAATGGCAATAATAAATACAAATTTTCTGAGGCTGAAGGCTACAGTGAGAGTCAGTGTAATGATGTTTGACAGTTCTATTACGTAAAAACACCTGCTAATATTGTGAACCGACACCGTTTTTCTGACAGATTTTATTTATATTCGTTTATTAGTGAAGTGGTTATAACAAATGACCTGTTTAAATAAAAATCAGTAAAAGAACCAAAAAAAGAAAAAAGATTTATATAAAGTCAAACAAGTCAAAAGAACTTATATTTCCACTTGCATCTCTGCTGTTCCCTAATAAAGTTTACAATGATGCAGAACTAAATGCATTTTTAATTTATAAAAAATTGTTCTGGGAAGGGTCTCAAAGAATCACTTTCATTATCTGATTATATTGGTTCAATTGACCCCTTCCACTTAATTAACAAATCAGCATTTTAAAGTTAAAAACAAAGTTGTGAAAGTCAAAGTGAGCTGAGAACCGTTTAAAGTTAGTCAGCTCTCAAATGCACCAGCACAGCCCCAACTCAGAATCCTAAAAATGGTGACCTAATTTTAATAATGCATCAATCTTTTCTATCTCATCATTTATGCAAATTAACTTGATTAAGTTTATACTTTTTTTTAAGTCATCATATTAATTTCCACCATTGTTCACTATAAATCCTTTATATTAACCACTTTTGTTCATGGCTGGGTAGTTCTACAACAGTACTGTTGGACTAAAAAAAATGTGAATTACAGAATTGACAGCAATGGATAATGGATACCTTTGCTATTTCAGAGACATCTAATATCAAATGAAATAAAAGATAATGGCATCTGATTCAGAAGAAATTGAGTATCAAGCCTTAGGAGACCATCATTTTAGGCCAGCTGGATATCAGAGGCCAGATGAAGACGATGAGGATGACAGTGAGATAAGTTTACATGAAGAGCAAGGCTTTCTGATCCACATGAGCCCTGAAGTTAATAAAAGTATGTTAATTTAGCTATTATATTCTTATTTCATGTTTTAAAATAGTTTTTTTTGGGACAGTAGTTAGAGTTGAAATCGATTAATTTATTTTAATTACCCTTTACATAAAGTCATGCTTTTATAATTTGGCTATTTTCAAATATTTCATTAATAATTGAATTGTTCTGTCAAAATATTTAGATGAAAAACAAGTAGGCGTTTTATTTTAAAGTTTGTACTGTTAAAGAATATCTCTAATAGCTTTCATGTACCAAAAAAGAACTTACATGAGATTTTAGATAAGTATGTTAAGTGTGGTTGTTCTAATAAAAGGGATAAAATATGGGATGCAACTAAAAGTAAGCTGACCATAATTTTTTTTAATGTTTACAGCTCAGTGGAATCATGTAGATGACTTAGACAAATTCTTTACAAGTGTTTATGAATATCACCAACGCCATGGGTTTCAAAATATGGTATTTTCTGAGATCCTGCAATTAATGTAAGTTATGAGGAATTTTAAACTGTTCTTTAAAATGTCAAAAACATCAAATAGGGATTAGTAACATTAAATTATACATTTTCATTTTTGATAGTCAATTGTATGCTTCTGGTTAATTAACAAATTGTGTAAATTTTAAACCAGCTTTATGCCATTTTTTTTCAGGCAATTTATCTTTGTTGTGCTTTTCATGACCTACTTAAGCTGGTGTGTTAACTACCCAGAGCTATTTGATGAGATACCACACAATACAACAGTTAAGAAAACTTTTAGTGACATTACATATCCACTGGGAACATGTATTTCCAAGTAAGTATTTATTATTCTTAGACAAGAGCAACTCAGTTGTATGTTATTTAAATATTTGATTACTTTCAAAACATATTTTGCATAGATCATGTGCTCATCTCACATTTTGAAAGATTTCTTAAGAAGATGTTAAAAATTGACAATTACTCATAGTCTCATTATAAATAGCTTTTTATACAAAAGAATTTATGTTTACTAATAAAGAACAACAGATAGTGTGATATTACAGCTTATTGTTGATGTTATAAATGAACATTTGTGATCAGTTATTTTCTATTTTATTCCTCTACTCCTCTACAGTTTTAACTTCATTACTTGGCTTCTATTATTTCTCTGCTTCCTGTTTCTGATTGGGAGAGCCATCAAAATGGCTTTTAATTTCAGCAATTACATGAGAACACGTAACTTTTTCATCAGCGCTCTCAACATTGAAACGGTATGTTTAACATAACGGTTTGGTTTTTTTTATGTATGTTGTCAAATCTGCCAAAAGTCAATTTAAAATTAATGGATATTGTTCAGCATGGGGATTTTGTAAGCAACATAATTTTATGCTTGTCAATATGCATTGGTTCAATTTTCAGTCTTTGAATATTGATATGAATTATACAAGTGTTATTTAAGACATATTTTAATTATTTTTATGGAAATAAGCCGGTTTCATTGGCTTTTCTGAAATTTATTGTGCAGCTTGCTCCAAACAAAAATTAATGCAATCTTTGAGCACTTGTAAACACTTTTTAAATACTAACATAGTTAGAAAAAAAAAACTTAATGTTGATATAAACAGTGATGTAATCATTCTCACAATACTATTTCAAATGTAAAACTTTTTTAATTTTATTTTCAGCGGGACTTAAGCAATATGACGTGGCATGAGGTGCAGCTGCGATTGTTGGAAGTACAGAAAGAGCAGCAAATCTGTATTCATAAACAAGAACTTACGCAGTTAGGTATGTAAGGGTACAAATACTCTCCCATAAAGAAAAACATTTAGCTTACATCTTGATAATTTAAAATGGGATTTTTTTTCAAAGATTTAGCTCACAAGTGCTACATATTAAATTTCTTGGATACAAGTTAGCAAACCTCATCCTCATAATCATCATCCTGATTCAGTACCCATTTGAGGCGATGGTTCATCTAAGGAAATCTTAATATCACACATCAGAATTTTATAATAATTACATTGGATTGCAAGAACCTGTGTGAATCTAACTACTTACATTATTTTAAAAGTTGTTTTTTTCCTTCTTTATTTCAGATGTCTATCATAGAATTCTGCGATTTAAGAACTATCTTGTTGCCATGGTCAATAAAGATTTGTTGCCTCTCAAGTTTCGTTTGCCTTTTGTTGGAGAACAGTAAGAATGTAAAAAGTAATGTGAGAATGATATGTGGATTTTGTTGGCCAATTTTGTATGAAAGAGTTTGAATTTTAAGTAATGGGATAATGTATACAATTCTTAATTGAATTATAATTAAGTTTTAAACTATCATCCAACTCCTTTTGCTCCTAAGTTTATATGTATTTCAGTCCTCTGGACTCTTAGTATGAGATTTTGTTTTAATTCTTTCAGTGGAATCTTAACACATGGAATGAGATTTAACCTTGAGGTTCTTCTGTATTGTAAGTTACTCATTTATCTGTGGTTACAAGCAGTTAATATTCTGTTTAAATAATTATATATATATGTATGTATATAAATTGTTGAAGAATTATTCATTTGAAATAGTTCATGTATTTTTACAAGCTTATTTAACAACCAAGCTTTTTCATCCATTTCACAAACACTAAAGGTTTCCAAACAAAATAATTCTGAAGAAGAAAATTAAAATTCACATCTCAAATTATTTTTTTACCAACTCTATGATTTACATCTATCACAAACTCGATGTCAGAGCTCACTGTTTGCCTGTCTTTATTAAGTTTTGTAGTTACAATGTATATTTCTGGGCCAGGGAGTTGTGATTCATAGATTTTTCTTTCATTGATTTTTTAGGGAGTCCCTGGTCTATATTCATCAATAGTTACACAATGAGAGAAGAGTACAAGAGCCAACAGAAGAGAAAGCAGCTGGCCGAGAGGTTGGCATAATTAATTTCCCTTTATTTAAATGTGAATCAAATTCACTTTTATGGCTATTGGTTAGTTCTTAAAAAATAGTCAACATTTTTAAAATAACAGATTGAGAACATTTAAATCAAAGTTCCAATTTGTCTTTAGCAAGTAAGTTTTAATCCTGATCATAAAAAAAAAATAACTTTGTACATGTTTTCCATACAGACTAGTGATCATTGTTTTTGTGTGGAAAGTCTGTTTTATATTAACAATAATAATAATAACATATAAAATATAACTAAGGATTGATTCTCTGTAATTATATTAAATGCTTTTTTTTTTTTGCTTCCCAGATTTTCAACACACATCCTTATGTTGGCTCTTCTCAACCTTGTTTTATGTCCCTTTATCTTTTTCTACCAAATTATTTACTTTTTCTTTCGATATGCTGAGGTAAGAACTTAGTATTCAAGTATTAGAATTATACTCATGGGATCTAGAAGGGTTAAATGGAAAGAACAGCATTCATGTTGCAGTCTTTATTTTGACTTATTCTGATTATAGTTAGCTATGTAGCTAGTGTTGATTGCAAGACTAGTATAAGTTATTGATAATGTTAAAAAAGCATTCTCAATCTGAATACTATTTTTTAAGTTTGTGAAACGTTCCCCAAGTTTTCTTGGAACAAGGCAGTGGTATGTAGAATTAGTTATTTTTATACTTAAATTGTTAGTTTTTTCTTCTCTGGTTTTGATTTAAGTTAATGGCAAATTATTTTCTGTGTAGAAAAAAATCTCCAAGACCTTTTCAAATTTACATTTTTTTTTAAAAAAAGGTGTATGCTACCACAATGTGTTATCAAATTAATTTATTTGATTTTCATTTTTTTTACTTGCCATTATTAAAATACTTAGTATGGCTTTTAAAATTATTTTTTTTCACCAAGGGCTAATTATGGTCGACTCTACCTCCGCCACTTCAATGAACTGGACCATGAACTAAATGCAAGGTAAACTTCTATACTATGCAGTCTTCTAACAAAACTAAACATCTTTCACTTGAAAAACTATTTGAAGAAATATTTTTTGTAAAACCAAACACAGCTCACGACATCCTCGGTAAACATCGACCAACGCAAAAACCATGGGTGACAGCTGACATACTTGATCTGTGTGATAAACGGAGGCAGTTAAAGAAAACAAAAATGGTAAATACAGAGTGGGCCATTAAATATAGGACAGTTAATCAAGCTATCAAAAAAGGTATGAAAAGGGCAAAGAAGAACTGGATTGAAGAGCAATGCTACGTCATTGAAAATTGCTTGAAGAAAAACAATAGCAAAAAGGCTTACCAGTTGGTGAAAGAACTAACCACTGCAAAACAAGGGCGTAGTACTACCATACAGGATAAAAATGGTAAATGTTTGACCGAAGAAAATGATATCATCAAACGATGGACTGAATACTGTTCAGAGCTTTATAATGAAAGTATAAAGATAGACCCAGAGATAGACAATGATAACTACCCTATTCTCCACTCAGAAGTAGAAGCAGCAGCCCAGGCACTCCAAACAGGAAAGGCCGCAGGAGTGGATAATATCCTTGCCGAGTTGATGAAACAAGGAGGAGAAGTAATGATAAGGGCCCTATTCAATATTTGTAACAAAATATGGCTTACAGGAGAATGGCCCAAACCATGGTTCCAATCACTCATCATCACCCTCCCCAAAAAAGGTAACTTACAGCTATGCCAAAACTATCGCACAATTAGCCTAGTAAGCCATCCAAGCAAGGTCATGCTGAAGATCATATTGAACTGACTAAAACCATATGCCGACAGAATCATTGCTGAAGAACAGGCGGGCTTCAAACAAGGACGGGGCACTACTGAGCAGATTCTAAACCTCCGAATACTATGTGAGAAATATGCTCAACACCAACAAAACCTATACCACGTCTTTGTTGACTTCAAGAAAGCATTTGACAGGGTTTGGCATGCTGCTTTATGAATGAGGCACTACAACATCAACACAAACCTAACCATCATGATATGCGACCTCTATGATAAGGCCACCAGTGCAGTCTTCCTCAACAACAACATCGGAGAATGGTTCAAGACCACGGTTGGAGTACGACAAGGCTGTCTGCTTTCCCCCACCCTGTTCAACATCTTCCTAGAGAGAATTATGTCAGATGCTCTGGAAGCGCATGAAGAGACAGTCAGCATTGGTGGCAGAACAATCACCAACCTACGCTTTGCGGACGACATAGACGTGCTGGCTAGGAACGAAGAAGAGCTAGCCGACCTGGTAAAGCGTCTCGATAAGACCTCGTCGTCCTACGGCAAGCTAATCATTGCCAAAAAGACAAAACTGATGACAAATAATACCTCAGGCATCACCACTGAAATTAAGGTCGGGGAGGAAAGATTAGAGACTGTCAGCCGCTTCAAATACCTAGGAGCAATAGTCTCAGAAGAAGGCTCCAAGCCCGAACTGATGTCCAGGATTGCGCAGACTACAACAGCACTAAAAAAGCTCAAGAAAATATGGAATGACAAAAATATAGCCCCCAGCACCAAAATCAGGCTGATGTGCTCATTAGTCCTCTCCATTTTCCTGTGTGCCTGCGAATCCTGGACATAAACAGCAGATCTTGAAAGGAAAATAAAGGCGATGGAGATGAGATGCTTCAGAAGCATTTTTGGTATCTGCTATAGGGACCATATCTCCAATGAAACAGTGAAAGAAAGGGTTCATCAGGCAATTGGGGAGTACGATGACCTACTGTTGACTGAAAAAACGCAAATTACAATGGTACGGCCACGTAACAAGGAAACAAGAGCTTGCAAAAGAAATATTGCAGGGCACCACAAGAGGAGGGAGAAGAAGAGGAAGACAAAGAAAAAGGTGGTAGGATAACATCAAAGAGTGGACAGGACTAACACTGGGCGATTCAGTGCGTAGTGCTGAAGACAGAGAGGAATGGAGGAGGATGGTTCATATGTCATCTGTGGCGCCTCAACGGTCCAAGGACTAAGGGACAGGAGGAGGAGGAAACACATTTTGGATGACACCTCCCACCCTCTTCATCACAGATACATAGGATCGGCCCATTTGGGGCGAATTCTTTCCGTCAGGGCGAGGACTGAAAGATATAAAAATTCTTTTGTTCCCTAATCTGTACAAATTTACCAGCGTGCTCCCTCTGAAGTCACAAATCTTAATGAGAACTAATAAGTCCCTGATATGGCTAAGAGAACTCACTGAATGTCTGTTTTTTTATATTTTTTTACTGGTGAAATAATGTATTATAAATGTCTTGTGTTCAAATTGTTTTATTTATGTGCTGAAAATGTACAATGCAATCATGAAACATTTCCATTTGTTTGGATCAATAAAAGAATCTTATCTTATCTTCAATTACATGACAGAGAATAGGGCTCAGATCACTTAAATAGACAAACTAGTAATTAAAAGTGTTTCAATTTACTTAATCATATTTTTGTTTAAAAACTAAATTACTTTCTTTTAGGTTGAACAGAGCTTACATTCCTGCAAAAATGTATATGAACAGTTTTACTTCTGCTTCACTGACAATCTTGGCCAAGTAAGTCTGTATCAGTAAAAAGACACTGATACAAAACATCATTATTGGGTATAACACGATCCAAGTATAATGCGAACCCCTAAGTGTTTGTTTAAAAAGTCCTAAAATGCCATCTCCACTTATAATGTGATGTATTAATTTTGTTCCATAGCCATTATTAATAATAAAATTGGACTTAATGAAAGATATATTTATTCTAAAATAAAAATGTCAAACTACTTTAAATTATTATAGTAAATAAAATGAAATACCAATACAACTATGCTAATATCCTGTCAAGAGGACCTACTTACATTACTTGCTTTATGCATAGATACGATGCATTCTTACTATTCGAATGCAAGTAGGTGAAGTAAATCTTGTCGCATTGGCATAAGCACATAGAGTTTTATAAAAAATTGCTTGAAGAAGCATGTACCTAAAATGTGAATCCCTAACTTTAAGTATCTTTTTAACCATACATTTCTCGCATTATACGGGGTAACATACAGTAAGTTAATGGATCCATTTTTTTGTCCAGGTATGCTGCCTTCTTTACTGGTGCCCCTGCAGCTGTCTTATTTGTTCTGGGGATTCTAGATTTCAATGATGTAACAAAAGTGGAACATCTCTTTACTATAGCATCTGTGTGTGGTAAGTTGTACCTGGCAATAGCAACCTGACATTAATTATTCTTTTGTCTGTCTGTCGGTTGAACTAATATTATAGATAACTTTAAACACATCCTATTTATTTTTTTAGGGCTAGTTATTTATACAGTTTGTTTTCTTATAGGTATGGTGGCTACAATTTGCTCATCTCTAATACCTGATGAGGTAAGATAACTGCTTCATTACTGGCGGTCATATTATTTATTTTAAAGTTTTGCGAGTTTTTATATTTATTAGTTTGTGGTGTAGTGTTGAGGATTTTTTAATTTTAAGATAATATATTAATTATGTGTTGCTCTTTAATTATATCACAGAATGAAGTTTTCTGCCCTGAACGACTGATGAAAAGTATATTAGCCCAAATACACTATATGCCAGATAATTGGAATGGGCGTGCTCATACATCCTTTGTTAGAGATGAGTTTGCCATGATGTTCCAATATAAATTGGTAATTAATCAATAAAATTATTTGACTCGGGTAAATTTATTATTATATGTTTATATGATATTCCGGGTACTTTTAAAATTTTAATTTATTTTATGTTTTTTGGGGCAAACTGCTTTTGTAATATAGCCAAGGAAAACATATGCCCTTGAAATGTAATTATGAATGTAAGATTACATCAAATCATGTTTTCTATGAAATTTTTCTCTCATTTTTCCATTTGTTTCCTCTTCTCCAATGTCTATATTTCTTATTTAATTACCTATTACTTAAATTACCATGATGTTAAATTTAGTAATGAAATTAGATGGGTATATTTTTAAAATTTAAAACCAAAAGTTTGTATAAATCACAGTCAAAGCTGGTTTACAAAAGGGCTTGTTTTTTTAATTTTAAATAACTTGATTAAGACATATATAAATTACTATCTTGTAAATTTAATGATACATCATTATTTTGTGTTGTTTCTTAACACTGCAAAACAGGTTTACATATTGGAAGAACTACTAAGTCCACTATTCACGCCTTTCTGGTTGTTGTTTTTGTTGCGACCCAAATCTATTCAGATTGTGGATTTCTTTAGGTGTTTTACTGTGGAGGTTGCAGGTGTTGGCGATGTTTGTTCTTTTGCCCAAATGGACATAAAGAAACATGGAAATCCCCAGGTTTGTTGTTTAGATAAGGATATTTATTTTATTGTAATGAAACAATGCTGCTGCTTTATCGTAACGATGACTAATTGTTTTGATGTTTTCAGCAGCTTTTAGCTACACAAACATTTTGTGCAAATAAGAAACTGTTAAGGAAATATAACTATGTCATAACCTTTTTCTTTCTTTTTTTTTTATATGTGAAATACAGTGCATTTCTTTCCTCAGTGGACCAAAACTGTAGCTCCCAATGACCAAACTTCCAGAGCAATGCAAGCTGAAAATGGGAAAGTTGAACTTTCCCTCATGCATTTTACTGTAAGTCTATATCAAAACATCATCTCATTTGAATTCTATATCTATATATATTTATAAAAGAACACACAGTGCAATTCTGTTTATTAAATAAATAGTCTCACAGGAAATTAATTATTCTATTTACATGAATGTTTTTTTTTTTGGGGGGGTAGTATTGTCAATAAAATATATTAGTTCAAAATCAATAGAATAAGACATATTTCACACACCTTTAATATTAGTTTACTAATGTTCAGTAAGAAAATCAGAGGTTGAGGATTTCAGTAGTAAATTTTAGTCAAATATATTTTCAATATTGATTAAAAATAATTGTCTATCTTGTATGATTGTTGCAGACGACAAACCCAGAATGGAAACCACCACAAGAAAGTAATATGTTTATTACTGGCATTAAAAATGAAGGTATTAACAATAGCAGACTGCCTTATAACAATGCTCAAATCTTCAATTAATCAACCCACACATTTTTCTCAGATTTGGCCAATTATAAATAATATAAATGAAAAGCCTTACCCAGAGCAAAATAGTGTTTTACTAAAGCTCAGGAACAGAATGTATCTGCCTGGTTCGTTTTTTAGTAGACTGTCAATGTTTAACTCATTAAATAACAATTATATTTTTTTTTTAAGAAACCAAATTATTGTAGTTCTATCAGACAAGAGTAGAAGCTAAGTTTTAGCAAAAAATCATCTATCAGCAATCAAATTTTTTGGTCAGATTTTTACCAGGAGACTCCAGCTGACAATTTACCATTTCTGCAGTCTTCCACCTTATTCTTCATTTGAATTATATATTTCTTTTTATGCAAAAAAATGATGTTACTTCTTTATAAAGGCGAATATATAAAAGCAAATTATATGTACCAAAATAATTGCTTGAGCCAAATCTCCTGCTGGATTGTTGCAAGTGTATTATCTCCATTAATCTCATCCATAATTTGCCAAATCTCTACTTGCAGTTCAAAAAGAGTTACCTGCCCTGACAAGTATCATAGCTGATCCCATCAGTCTCCCTAGCCTTGGCTATGTTAACCCTATCGCACCTTTATTTGCTGTAAGTAGTCTCTATCAGAGTCCATATTAACTAACTAAGCATTAAAAAAAAAACCTCCTTTAATTCTTTAATGTATTCCATTCATAAAACTTGAGTTTAACATCCATACACTATAAATTATTTGAAATGTCAACCACCATTTGGTGGTTTAAGTTATAAATATTGTTTAAGGAATTGGTAAAGTTTGTTTTTTTTAATTTAAAAAAAATCTGCTGAAAATCTGTATTTATTATTATCCTTCTTTTTACATTTTTCATATCGATATGTTAAATTACAATAAGAACATATTTACTTAATCATTGTTTGTGTTTTCAAGGTCTCTGAACACAGAAAATTTTTTGTAACTTGTTGATTATAAAATTAAATGAGATTTATTTCACTTATGGTCGTCTTTTCCCGCAACAACTAAATCCTGCTCGTCAGGGACTGCTGTAATAACAAAGTCAGGTCTCTTACCTCAATTCTTTGGGAGCATTAACCTGAACTTAAGATTTAACATTTTTTTCCACAACTTCTTATTATAAATAATTTTTACAAAGCTTAAAATTAAAAAAATATTTCATAACAATATATTTTTCTGTGTGTCCAGATGGGCTCAAGTATGCATCACAGTTCAGCCTACCAGCAAGATCCGGCAACTTCTCTAAGTTCTTTCCCTGGACAGTCACCCAGACTTAGGGGAGGACTTTCCCATTTTGATGGACCTATCCCCTCTTCCACAAATCTTACAACTAGTTTGACAGGGTCTGACTCATTCCATTCTGGCAACTTCACTATGGGTGCTTTAGATGAAGGCCAACGAGAATTACTCTCTGGAAACATGAGCCTTAGTGTGCTTCATATCCATGATGCCCACCATCGTCAACGGCATTCAGACTTCAGATCTCGTAAGCAGACCAATGAGCTCCCAAGTGAGCAACATGAAACTCAGTTCTCTAACACTGCAAGTATATCAAGGCCACAATTTTCTTTTACGCAAAGACAGCAGCTCCAAAAAAACTTTAGCCCTGGATCAAAAGCTGCAGTTTTAACAAAAAGGGTAGACCAAGACTTTTCAGCAGATTCTGTGATACAAAGTCAGGCTGAGATACATAGACTAACAATGTCTTTTGACAATGGACAAAGTGTAGCACCCTCCCAGTTCCACCACCCTTTGTTACAGGACTCAGATGACATGTACCTTACATCCGATTTCTCCAGTCTGCCACCTCTGACAACTCCCGAGCTCCCTTTTGTGCGTCCAGTAAGTGCTGCCAGCACTCCTTCACCTGCCGTGACTCCTAGTGCAATCCTCAGCTCCAGACTTGTGACTGACCACATGCCAGAGATTAAAGAAGACAGCATTGAGCATGAGCTGGACACATCTAGCTCACCTAAATAAGGTCAAATCACAAGGAGAGCAACTTCACCTCATCTTTGATATCCATTTAGTGATCAGATTTATGTGCTATGTAATGTAAACATTTTCAATACTGGTAGTATTTGTGAAGCACTAAAGTTGTTGTTTATTTTTAATCATAAAATGAAAGTGGTAAGTGTGATGTGGTGAAATATCTGTGTTTGGTTTGGTTTCTGCTATATAAATCATATTCTCTGTAATACATAATGGACAAATAATATTGAAATAATTTGATAATTATTTTTTTTTAAACCTTAATTTTTAAAATTTATCTTTGCATCAGTTTTGGACATAATACAAATGCTTCATTAATTTTAACATAGACACAAACAAAATGTGAAATTTCATTAATGATACCATTAAGTAGGTAAGCCCAGTTGTGTTTCCTTTTTAGTGGCTCGTAAAGTTTAATGGCAAAAAACTATAGAATTTCAAAATGATTTGACTCTAGATTTATTAAATTTCAAAATAATTCTTATAAAGAAATTAAACTATGTGATATGATATCAAATAATAAACTTGTAGGGCTATTTTAATGTTATAAATAATATTCACTATGCATTTTGTATATAAAATATAATAAGGTAGTATCGTGCAGTTGATGATTAAATACTGATAATCTTAGATCAAATTAATAAAAAGTAAAGATCACAGTTTAAAATGTCATGTTATGTTGAATTTTAATCAAATGTAAATTTTAATAAACTGTACTGTACAGTTATCTCTTCTGTAATCTTACTTATTTGATAATGAATGCATAATCTTTTACACATATTTTGCTTCTGGTTTGTCCTTCTTTTCACAACTTGCCCCCCCACCCACCCAGGCCACATATTTTATATCAATTAATAGTACTGAGGGGAGGAAAAAAGGCTGTCGTGCAGCGAGCTTTCATGGGTGACATCTTAACTCGCGTAAAGATGTTGAATTTTTTTCAATGGGGGAGGCAACTATTTATTAATCAATAAAGAGTGTTGGGTATGGTGTAGAACTGTCTATAGGACTGTCTGTAATAGTAATACTATGTTTAAAGGCCTGCGGGTAGGGTATAGGACTGTCTGTATGCCTATTGTTCAAAGGCTGGCAGGTAGAGTGTAGGACTGTCTGTAGGACTATTGATTAATTTCCGACATATAGAAAATGAGAAGTTGACTCTTTTTTTGGTAACACTTGGACCCATCGTGTATTTTCTCAAAAACCTGGAGCCATTGTAAAAGAACTGCACCCAGTTAAGCCCTAGTTAGTGATATTATTGTTATCCCCAGCTGTTGTCTCAGTCATTAACCCAGCCATAAAATTTCACTGAAATGTACCTCAGTGCTTGTCTGTGTTTAAGATCAATAATATTGAAATGGTGCTTTAAAAAAATGGCATGTTCTTGTAAAAAGCACTTTTCTTTTCAAGTAAAAGCACTGGTACCTGAACCTTTAAAAAAAATTAATTCACAATTAAATCTTTTTGCTTAACTTTAGAGTTTCTGCTGAAATGTATTGAATGTTTCAAATGCTGGTTGTAACTAACAAGCATTTTTTCTCTCCTTCTATTAATCCTATTGTATGTACCTGTCATCGTCTTACATAAATTTAAGATTGCAGTAACAGTGAGTTCATAAGTTTAAGATGCACAAATAAAGCATTCATATTTTTGGCATTTTATTTAATTATCCATTCTTACTTTAAATGCACATTATTGATGATACATCGTTGTTGACACCATTACTGTTGTCCAGATCTGGCCTGGTTTGACAAAATCTGATTTACCGTGTCATTGTAGATTTGCATGCTTAATGTGACATATATACTCTTCCATATTATTTGAGCTTATGTAATATGATGTCATCAATGGGTTTAGATTAACATAAGTAAAGCTTTGATTAGGATGAAACTTATTTTTTTTTTAATCTATCTAGAATGATCTCAAAATAATCTGATTGAACCTAATGATGTCCTTATTCTAAAAAAAAAATTTTTTTTTTAAATTTCTTTTTATGACACTTTCCTTTCATTGTTTTAGTTTTAGCGAAACTTTTAAATTTTATTTTGAGACATATACATTATTGGTTAGATATTATGAATTTATAAAATTATCAAGGATAGATCTAAAAGAAATATAGTTATTGTTTGTTTTATTTAATAGGATTAGAAAAAATTATTTAAGATTCGGTTCACCCAGCAAGCATTCATTTATGAATTAAACAAATTAAACGGCTTTGCTGCAGCTCATGTCTGCTGATTTGGCTATAAATTTCTAATGCCCCAACCCACCGATTTGTGCAGTAATCTAGAACAAAAAATTGACTTTGTAAATTAATAAATGCAGAACTTAAACCACTTTATATTCTTTCAAATTCATCTCATGTGTTGCTAAATTCAACTACTCAGCTGCATCCTAAACATCATTTATCATCAGACTGTGTTACAATCTTAGATTAATTACCTAGGAATCCCTGCTTGCTCTATATAATGTTACATTGCTACTACATCATCTTATTAAAGTTTGATCTAATGGGAACATTATTCCAGAATATGAAATTGTATCAATATAAAAAATGCATTATAAACATTGAAAACACCCCATGAGACGGGGCAGAATTATTTTGTCAGCTTTCTTTTTTTTTTTGTTGTATGTGTAATAATAATTAGTGACTGTCACTCTGAAGATATCATTGACCATTCTTGCAGTTGGTAATTGGATTTATATGAGCACATTTTCATAAATATTTTGGCTTCATGAAATTATGAGATTATATTCTACAACAAGATTTGTGAGATTTTATCCCATTTGTGTTGTGTTTTTTTAAACCAATTCTTTACTATGACCTTGATACTTGAAATAGAAGGGGAATTTTTTCATATGGCCAGTAAATCTTTTTATAACCTGAAGGTTATATGAGATACCCCCAACTCAGATCAAACCAATAAGATGTGACAAAAACAAGTATCAATTGGTTAAAGTTTTGTCATGAGTTACTATGTAGATAATGTAAAAAAAAAAAAGCATACCATCTTTTTAAATATTCTTCCTTTTGTATATTGTGTTTATGCGTAACTTCTATATAGCAGATCCCCCTACCATAGAATAGGAGCTCCTCATTCCTGCCAAAGATAATAAGGGACCGGAAAGCTTCCCAAAGCAGTAGTTGAGGCGACCACACTTGACACATTTGTGTCTATTGCCTCCTGTCTTCCAACCCCCCAGTTCATAATACTATCGCTGAGCAGTCCTTGCATCAGTGAAGTATCCCCTTCAAAACCATGCACAGTTACATTGCAAACCCCTCTGATACATAGGAGCCAGAATGATCAATACATTGATCGGGGGGGGGGGGGCCTCAAAATACAGAAGAATAAATAAATAAAGCATCTTAATTTTTTAACCACAAAAGGCATGTACAAAATAAATGAAAAACGGCATCTGGTAATTTTTTTTTTTTTTTAAATTAAGCTAATAAGTTTTTCCATTTAGGATATGAAAAATGTTTTTATGCTTTCTTTATACTTCATTTGTATATCTGGATTTTTCTTGATTTGGTTTAAAGGTTTTTCAATTTAATATTTAGTCAACCATTCATACTGTGGTTTTCCAACTGTTTAAAAAACTTGGCATCATCATTGAATTAATCACCTAGTAATAATTCTTGTACTTGACATATCACGGATAGTTGTAGAACATGTTCTTTTACTTGGCTTTGGTGCACATGCCATTAAACATGACATTAGGGTAGGCTAGGGATTTGTGTAATAATCTGTAGTGTTAGGTCAGGCACAAACCCATGTAAATACATGTCTGCTTCTATTTATATCCTGCTGCCATATCTTATCTTTACTCCCTGTTTATTTCCCAGTGTGCCACCTGCGTTCTGAATTTGGTGTCTGCCTTTCCAAATTAATTTAACTTTGGAAGACGCTGAATGTGTATTTCTGCATAGTGTAATTTTTATCATCTCCTGTGGCTGTGCTAAGTTTGATTAAAGTGAAGGCCTTCAAATATTTTATAAATATGGAGTTTGTTTGGATTTTTGTTTATTTTTAAGCTTAGATTGAATTTTCAGATTTTAAAAACGTGACGTACCGGTATTCAACAACAGATACTTGTTCAAGTTATGGAACTGGTTATTTAATGATCTATAAAGGTAGAAATGAATATGAAATTTGGAAGATGAGAAAATATTGTATAATGTCAGCAGATATTTATGGGTTCATGAGACATTTTGTCTACAAGCATAAGTATGGTACATATTTCAACAGTGATAATGGGACAGCAAACAAAATGAGGATGGCATGCAAATAAATGGAGCCTTTGTACACAAAACACTGTGTCATATAATGACAGCATGGCACAGTGATAAATAAAAGTATCTGAGGCAGATTTTCCCCCTATAATTATTTACTGGAAACACATCAGGATTGGAAGGGGTGAGGGCATTTGTCAAATGTTTTTGGTATCTGAAAATGTCATCTATAATAATATTCTGTTCAAGAGATGTAACTTTACATTTTTTAAATGCCTTTATTTGAGTTACAAAGGTAGCAAATTTCTTTTAAAAAGGGAGAAAACTTAATGTATTTTTTTATTGAATTAATTAATTTATAATAATAAATAGTCTAAAGCTCTTTGTATTTGTCTGTGGCATTCAATAAAAAAGTTCTTATCGCAGGTTCATCTGACTCATGTCCACAGTCTGGGGCCAAATAAAATTCTGCTTCAGGCCAGCGCTTAAAAAAATAGAAATACAAAGCCATGTCATTATTAAATATTCGAGTAATGTTTTAAAGAAGGGAGCAAATTAAGGTTTTAAGTAATATTTTGTCTGAAAATTACGACATTTCTCATAAAAACATTGCTTTACATGTGCGGTTTTTTCATCAAAAATTGATGTATTGGCAGTCCTAATTTTAACTTTAAATAACTAATTTCATACCATGTTTGGCAGTCCTAATTTTAACTTTAAATAACTAAATTCATACAATTTGATTATAGTCTAATAAGTAATATGTGGTGGCTATTGGACTTCAATATTATTTTATTGTGTACCTTATGTAGCTGCCAGGCAGTATCCATGGGACAAACAATATCATAGCGACCTTGAACAATGGTAGCAGGAATATGTTTAATTTTATCAACCTCGTTGATTACCTGGTTTTCATACTTAAAAAATCCACCATTGACAAAGTAGTGACTGAAAGAAATTATATAAAATTGAAACTTATAACTCATAATCCATTTAGTGGTAAACCTATACTTAAAATTAAAGATACCCCAGGGATTATGTTGTCATAGAATGCACCCATAAGATGCACCCAATGGCGTCCAACGCACCTAAACAGTGTACTGGCACACTTTTTTGGTCGGATTTTACAAGTAACTTTTGAGAATTTTATATCTGGTCCACATGCACTTTTCCAGCATAGTAGGTGGGGAAAAATAATTAAAACATTGCATCATGAATGGTGGAGTGGCAAAAAGCTTGACTCGTCCCGGGCGGCACTATTCCTAGCTATACCACTGCATGCAAACTTTAAATAATTTATTTAAATTTTAAAAAGAAGTAAAATTTTTTAAAATTACCAATTACTTCTCAACCTGCTAATAAAAAGCATGGAACACACAAAAATAACGAAGACTGTTAATATTTCTCAAACTAGTCTTGAGAACCCAAACTACAAATTTTAATGAACTAAGATAAAAAATAATACATATTTTTTTGTAATGTTATTTTGACCTCCTCCCTCACCGTCACAAATTTTTTACATAATTTAGACACTTTGATAATAGTTTGTGCCCCCACCCTCGATGCTTGACATCATAATGGATGACCCCTAAAATATTAACGAGATGCAAGTAGCGGATCCAAAAAAAGCACTGGTGATACCAAGTAATTAGTTTTGGTTGTATTTATTTTTATTTAAAAAAATTAATGCCTTACTTTTTATTGCTTCCACACCTCCACATAATATTTATTTGGTTATAATAGAACATCATCATTTCTTCATCTCCCTTTGTATCTATCAACACCATTATGTTTTAAACAGCAACCACCCACCTCTCTATCCGGGCCAGTTGAAGTGCCCATACAACATCAGTGTCAGCTCTTAATAGATCCTTCTCGTTTATGAATAGTTTTGAAGTGGCCATTTCCCATTTGCTCCATCTTTGTGCAGCTGCTTTTCTTACAGCCTCATCCTGAGATGTTAATCTTCTGTAATAGGCATCAATCAAAGCACCACGCTCTACCTAAAGTGGGAGCAATTGTTAAACTTATACAATTTTCTGGAGTATTTTTTCATAGAAAACAATAGAACTGCTTTGTTAAATCTGGACTACAAAGTGTTAAATCAAATTTTTAAATACATTTTACTGATATTGAGCTTCATAAATTTCTGGGTCAATTGAAAATATCTTGTTAATGTAAGAAAATCATTGAATAAAATTGACAGGGAGCATATAAATACTCCAATCATTTTTGTGGCCATATGGTAACATATGCCTTTCAACAAAGAGGTAGTGGCTTTGAATTTGTCCAGGGTCATCCCAAGCTGGGTGGCTTAAGCCAAATAAGGCAACTAATCTTGGGAAGGAGGTAATACAGCAGCCAACTTGGCTCAGGATTGAAAATCAACTTTCTTTGTGGAAATAGATGTAAGCGTACAATAAAATTACAGCTGCAGTAATAAATCCAGAACATACAAAAATTAAATATAAATACACCTAATTTGAGCCTTAACTTATCTGATGACAAAAGGTTTAACCAATTGCTTACTGTCTTTTTTTTTGTTTTCCCCCCACCACCTATAATTTTTTACTGCCGGTACTTTTCCTCTTGTCTTTGCATAGACAAGCTTTTCCTGCTCTTCCATTTGAAATTAAATATATTATTTTTTTTTAAAAAAGCTTTAAAATGTAAGTGCATATATTCTGGGCACTTTAAAAAAAAAATTACATTCATAATATTTTATAGTTACAAATTGTTTATCTTAGTTCATTGTAATTTCTTTTCTTCATTACAAATTATTACAACAGTTAATAGACAAGGTAACAACATTAAAATATGAAACACTTGAGAAACTTTAGTTTAATTGTTAAGTGAGCATCGATGATTAAACTGAAAGGCTAAAAACCTCTGGGATGAAGTTTACAAAATCCTCCCAATAGTCTGGAAAAATCATGTTAGCTCCTTTACCCTCATAGAACCACTCCAGTTCTTTTCTGTACAAAAAAAAAAGACATGTAAGATTTTTTTTTCCACAATGTATTTTTTTTAACTTTTGAATCATTTGTGGTGCACATTTCATTCTTGTAAGTGTAACACAGAAAGTTTATTAAAAAGTTTGATTTGAATGGTCATTCACAGTTATTGCATTAAATAAAACTTATGCCTCGCCTCATGCACCCCTTCCCCACATTTTTCGGGACCATCAATAGATGTAGACTTAGACATATATTTTTTGTCTAATGAACTTCCATAGACACAGTTTAGAATATTGTAGACTACAATATATATATCATTTCTAAAATCTGTCCTTAATTACCTGCGTAAAGTGAAAATGCCTCTAACAACCAAGGCCTTAACTTTGTCAGGATAAGTCTCAGCATAAGTGAGAGAGAGACAAGATCCCCAGCTACCACCAAATACAACCCATTTTTCAATCCCCAGATGATTTCTGAGACGTTCCAAGTCTTCTACTAAGTTCCATGTTGTGTTCTCCTGTTAATATAAAATAAATATATTTGAGAATGTTGTTAGGCCCTAATCATTTATTTATTACAATGTCTTTTTTTTTTAAATTCCTTTGCTTTATTTAAACAAGCTTGTTATTATATGATACATCTTCATATATTTCTAAGCACATTCGTTTCATTATGACCTTGATTTCTGCAGCTGGAATAGATTTTCCAGCACCCCTCTCATCAAACAAAATGATGCGGTATGCGATAGGATCAAAGTAACGTCTGTCATCTGTATTTGTGCCACCCCCTGGTCCACCATGGCTGAAATTCCAATATATTTTTATAACATAAAATTGTAAATATAAGTAATTAAATTAAGTTTTAACATCTATGACAAAGGTTTGACAAAAATAGATCAACCAAATGCATATTAGTTCCTGTTAGATTATTTTAAAAATATTTAAGCACTCATGGTCTAAAGTTATGTGTGCTACCACAGCAGAATTTTTAAATTACATGATAAGTTTAGCTAATTTATTAATAATTTAACTAGTTTTCTTGGCACAGGTTTTTATAAAGGTAGCCTTTAGCCAGTTTAGCTAAAACATAGTCAACGGGTTAGCAAACATTTTTTGACAAGAGCTAATAAGAAGCTCTCTTCATGAGTTGTGCCAAAATCAAGGTGTCCTATATCTTACATCAGAAATCTCATAAATTTATACATCATAAAAACTTATATTTAAAACAAGTAAGACACACTGTTTTTCTTGTCGAAATGTCACATGAAGCGAGAATTCACTTTCTGACAATGTAATATTTCATTGATTTAATTTAAAATATAACTCTATGAAAAAGTCTTCGACTACGTCTCAGTACATGAAACTGGTGCTCTTCTGACATCATATATTTTAGTTTGGCTTCTAAGTTAGTACTAATAACTTAAGTCATAAAAAGTGCTTGTAATGGTTCATCAGATAAGGCTGCTTTGTCGCCAGATTTGTCTTTTTCACAGATATAGGTAGTGTCAAACACTGAAATGAATTCACAAGTACAGGGTGGACCAATAAAAGTGAGAACATCTCGTAAAATGTGATTTAATCACATAAAATTTAGTTTAACTATACCCATATACTATAGTGGTTTCGACGCTTGGAAAAAGTCATTGAGAAGCCAGGAGAACACATTGAACATGATTTCTGATTAACTAAATATTTTGCACAAAAAAAATTCCTTGAAGAATTATAATTAATTAAATTATACTTTGCTACGAGATGTTCTCACTTTTATTGGCCCACCCTGTACAAGCAAAGCCTTTTAAATAAGCATATTAACTGCCTGAGAGACAGTTTTTGAAGTTTCCTCGCCCTTAGTAGTATCAGTCTTTCAATGAATTTCAGATCAATTGCTTCTATTTGAAGATCAACACTGCAATCAAATGGATAGAGAAGATTCTTATTATTTTTGTTGCACTGGTAGCCAGATCAGAAAATGGGTTCTGTTAAGTCCATCTCTTTGCACAAAGTCGCTTGGGAATGGGTCTGTTGCTTTTTGCACAAAATTTTCAGTATGGAAATTGAATGAACCAACTGAGACTTGCTAAAGTTTTGTTTTAGCCAATGTGCCTTCTCACTGATGGCCTGATGAGGCTGATGGTCAATCTCAGCTATAAGTTTTTTTTTCAAAATCACAACAAACCTTCCCACCATTAAGTCACTTGGTAGGGTATTCACTAATCAGGATATTCCGGTAATTTTCCGTTACAAACATATGAAATTTACAATGATGAAGGCCATAAGTTCACAAATGAAACCACAGGATCAATTAAACAAGATTTATTCAAATATTTTCCACACAATACCTGTTGATGCAATGAAGTACCATAATTTTAACAGTCTTGTAAATTTCCCCAAACTAAACCTTTCCCTTCACTCCAAATGTTTTATAACCATTTATTGAAACGAACTCCAATTTTGTCCAATCCAAAATTTACTGACCAATGGATTTTTTTCTGCCACGTCGAAATGTCCCCTGCTTATGTTCGATGCGTACTATTCACCGACACTAATTTTTCTGTCACTTAAAAATTACTATTGACAATTGACTCGACAGGCCGGATTAACCGAAGCCGCGGACCACAATGGGCTCAATGGCACCCACGGGCCATAGTTTTCCTACCCCTAGATAGCCTGTTTGCTATTCCCGTTTTGTGCTATTAAACCAAAATATAAATTGTACTAAATAAAAGTCTTACATAAAAACTACTGGGTTACCAGACTTGTTTCCAGATTGTTCATAGTAGATAGTGTGTATCTCGGAAACTTTTAAGAATCCCGTGTCGTAGGGTTCAATAGCGGGATACAAGTTGCGATATTCTCCACCTTTAGCCATAGCAGACGGCGAACACTAAGTAAGGACTGGCGTCAGCTTGGAGTCTCAGATGCAGAATGTAGGCACGTATGTGTGCAGAAACATGAACGTCGATGCATATATGGGCCAACTTATTGCTAGTAAAAAAAAAATATATATATTTCTGTTATAAAACTAGGTCATGGTCGATGTAGAGAGAAGATAAAACAACAAACAAGGCTTATAACCGTTTATATATATATATATTTTTTTGGCCGCAAGGAGTATGAGTGGTGTTACCTAGCAGAATCAGAGATACAAATACCCTGCTGAGCCCCCCCCCCCGATGTCAAAAGGCATGGTTATAGGATGTCAAAGATGTGACACTCTAAATGCATTATAGAGTCAAATCATTAATTTTCCAATTTTTTGGGGGGTGGGGAAGGTATACGGAAATTACCTATGCTATTACCCGTCCTCAAGTCTTGGAAGGTTTGCTTAAAATTTTATACATTTTAAAGACAGCCTTGCAAATCATTTTTATCAGCTCTGGTAGGCTTAACATGTTCATTATTTAAATGCCTCTAATCCCACGGTTTCCACTTCATCTTATTTTAGTGCATCAGGGCCTTGATGTTTCACACTTTAGTATTACAACTGTGACAGCAGATCATCACAGCTTTGATGTTTCCCACTTTAATATTACAGCTGTGACAGCAGATCATCAAAACTTTGATGTTTCCCACATTAATATTACAGCTGTGACAGCAGATCATCACAGCTTTGATGTTTCCCACTTTAATATTACAGCTGTTACAGCAGATCATCACAGCTTTGATGTTTCCCACTTTAATATTACAGCTGTTACAGCAGATCATCACAGATTTGATGTTTCCCCATTTTAATCATCTCATTCCTTTTTTTATGGAGCCTTTTAAAAAATCTTTCATTCTTGGGCAAATACTAATGCAATTACCATCTTGATGAAAATTGTTCTGATGGATACATTAATTACATGTTATGTGGTAAAATATGGTAACTGCATTTATACAAAAAGCTTTAGTCAGTGGTATGCACCTGATAATTTACTTATTTGAATTAACCTTCATTCAATGGTATCTTAAGACACTGATCTCCCAAATTAAAGGATTCTGCACATTGTTTTACAAAAAATAAAATTGTTAGGGTACTCATTGCAGTGCTTCATTGTTTTTTGTGTTAGAAAAATCTTAAAATTAAAATTTATTGGACCATTTTTTCCCCCCAATTATTATCCAGAGTTCGAGATATTAAAGAGTTCAACTCTGTGATTGTGACTTACACTATGCAATCAGAACAAATACGTGGAAATGGTGTGTTGATTTAAATAACAGCATTTACTGTTAGTTTACTATTGAAATACTAGACATCACATGTCTACAGACAAATTACAAGCCCAAGCATGTAGTATTCATAATGTAAATGTGTAAAAAAATGTGGTATTCCCTTGTTTGACTGACTATCTGGAACACAAATACTCAAACACATGTACCGGGTAACTTGTTTGTTTTAATTCAACATATATAGCAGAGTTCATGGAAAATGATGGTCAATGTCGGCTACCGGAAATGGAAACAATTTTTGTTTAAAAACTTGGACAATCAAAGTAAACAATCAAGCAGATATAAAAGGCAATAATGGAAAATTCTATTATTAAAATACAATAAAAATTTTTTTTTCAAATTCAAAATCCATCATGAATAATTATTTGAATGTCAAAATGCAGTAAAAATGAAAGCACTGAGTAAATGTATTCAATATTATCATTTCAACATTAAACTATTAAGTTGTATAGTTATAGAAGCCAATCTATCCACCTATATTTTGTCATATTGTTAGATAGTTAAGTTATGGCATAAAATATACAGTAAGGTAGTGACATAACTATGCGTGCTAGGTGGCCAAGTGGTTTCAACTAAGTTCATCCCAAGCTTGTGGAATAGAGCTCAATCGGTCCCCAAAATTCTAGACAAGCAAAAACATCGTTAACTTTGGATGGTAACTCATAAAAGAAGGAAAACTGAATTGAAACCCAGAGATGGAGACCTGAAAAAAGTATAACATGGACACAATGAAAGAGGCGGCAACTCCTACGATGCCACTGGTGCATAGTTGTATAATCTAAACGTGATGTCAGTAAAAAGATATATATAAAAAATAATAATTCTTTAGATGTGTATGTAAGGCTGCAATACTGTTTCATAGGCGCACAAAATAAAATTCCCAGAAGTTAGCACTAATTGGGATTCTTATAAAGTGCGTTATGTGAATGTTTTGTGAAGTAACTTTATTGGATGGAAAGTTCACCATTGCTGACACCATTGTCTGACAGGTTATTTCTAGTTGGAATATAAATATAATACTGATTAAAAATTAAAAGAAAATAAAGGATGAAAGAAAAAGCTCATAGTTTACTCATTTCATTTAAAAACGGTGTTGGTAATAAAGACATAGCATGCTAGGATCATAAAAAGAATGCATTAAGTACCAACAAATATCTGTTCAAGACAGACAAGTAGCTTGTATTGGCTACGTTTATCATTTTAAGCAGCAATGCTTTCAAACAATAATTAAAACTTTGTAATTGAAATTCACGTCCTTTTAAAAAACCCAAGGAAAACCTACCCACAATAACTTAGAGCAGAAGCAAATAATTGTTTTCAGCTGCTTCTTACTACACATTTTAAATTGGGACAGAAAGCAACAAACGCTTTAGCAATTTACCACATCCTATTCAAAATTTGTTGTAATGCTATCAACAATTTGAGCATGATGTCCATAAAACAGTTTAACAAAAATCAACAATTCCTTCGAGGTCTCCATTGGTGGAAAATTAATGGTTTAATTTTTAAAAATAACCAACATTAGAATAATCAACACTCTGCTATTTTAGATATGTCTGTATTTGTCAGTAGCTTCTAATAAAAGAGTTCTTGTGGCTGGTTCTTGGCTGTTGTGTCCACTGTCAGGAGCTATTTTCAACTCCGCCTCAGGCCAACGCTAAAATTATAGAGGAGAAAAATTGTACAATAAATCAGGGGTTCTTAACCTTTTTCCAGCGCCACACCCCTGATTGATTTCAAAATATTTCACACACCCAATTTTTAAATTATGTAATATGCAAATAATCTCTCGATACCTTATGTAACTGCCAAGCTGTATCCATTGGACAGACAACGTCATAACGACCTTGAACAATGGTGCCAGGAATATGTCTTATTTTTTCCACCTCTTCAATGAGCTGGTTTGCTGACTTGAAAAATCCACCATTGACAAAGTAGTGGCTGAGAGTGATCAGAAAAAGATATTAAAATATTTCTTATATTTGTTGTTGAATATTAACAATTGAAAAAAAAAAAAATTGTATCAATGACAACACAGTATCAATAATGAAAACAAAAAAATCAATAATGACAACACAGGACCAATAATGACAACACAGGACCAATAATGACACCTTCGTGTAAATAGTAAATCAGATAAAGTAGAAAGGCGTTCAGTTTTTTTTCTTTCTTTGAAGTAAATGGATACAAATTATACAATGTTTTTTAAATGTATATATTTTTGTTTACTGGAGATATAAACTTAGAATAACATTTATAATTTATACCAACCATTCAATGCATGCAAACTGAAGGGCCCATGTATGCTGGGTATCTGGTTTCAAAAGCTTTTCTTGATTAATAAAGAGGTGAGAAGTTGCTAATTCCCACTTGCTCCAACGCTTCGCCGCCTCTTGGCGTACTGTCTCATCCTCTGATGTCAACCGTCTGTGATAAGCATTCATGAGAGACCCTCGCTCAACCTACAAAATAAATGTGTAGGATTTTAGGGTACACCGTAATTTAAAACAACTTCACAAAAATGTATTTTTCTGGTCACTAATAATCTCTGATAAGCAGAAAATATAATAATGTTATTTATGCTTAGCAATTGTAACTACATGTACTGCCAAATTTCTATCTGAAATAATACTGGATATAAGATCCTGAATGCAGATAAAATTATGCCCCTAAATTATGGCCAGATCAAAAAGTTTGGGACTTTTTAAATGCTATGTTATAACACCAACTGTCATTTTTAGGGTTAAGTTTTAAGAAAAATTTTGAGTTATTTGTCTCCATCCTTCCCTGCAGCACTACAGCCCATGTAAGACTTTGGCCTGCCTCATCACTTCCTTCCACTCAGACCTAACTGATGCTTTTCTTTTCCATGCTTGGATTTCCAACTGAGCAGATCTTTTTCCACATCATCCATCCATCAAAGCCTAGGTCTGCCTTTCAGCCATTGTCTTCTGTTTTTTTTTTGTGGTGCACCCTCTTCATTTCTCTGGTATTCAGCATTCTTTCTAAGAGTCCCGCCCAGCGTAACCTGCCCTTTATTATTTCTGCTAATAGCATGGGATCTTGATATAGTCTATACAATTCCTGGTTGGTTTGTATTCTCCATCTATATTTATCGCTGTTACAATTACAAAGTCTGATAACAGTTTTATAGACAGTTTTCTTTGTTCTTCTTGTAATGTTTTTACTTTTGAGTATTTTGTGACTACTGAAGAATGACCTGCTTCCAGTCGATATTCTTTATTTTATTTCTGTTGATAATTCAACTCTTTCATTTATTAAGGATCCTAGACTAGAAATTTGAATTTATTTACATTTTCAAAAGTGTGGTTTCCAATTAATTGGTTCCATCTGTCTGTTCTTCTCTTAACATAGTCATGTATTTTGTGGGTTTTTTTGTTATGAACTTCCAGCCCTGCTTGTAGTGATGCATCCTCTAATTCAATAAAAAGCCTTTGATATGTCTTTACTACTTTTCCCTAAATGTCTTATGTCATCTGAATATGCTATGCAAAATACTAAAGGGGTTGGTTGCAGAGAATGTCTTTTGGTTGTGGGTCTTAGGTTTCCCTCAGAAAGTATCCTGTGATTGTTCCTCAGGTGTCAATATGTATGCTTCTTATAACTCACTCTAATGTTGGTTTAGACAGCCTACAAGACAGTCTTCTAGTCTTAGGCCTCTTCTAATCTGAAATTCCCTTTAATATTCACTCTGAACCTTAATTTTGCTTTTTGACTTGTTTAATGTTATATGTATCAGTCTTGTAAGTTTGTTGTGTAATCTGCATGTAAAAGTTACTTGAACACCTGGAATCAAACAAATTTTAAGATGTACATTCAAAATTATATCACAATTTGCTGACACTTTTCCATCTGTACAAATTACAGAAAGGTAGTAATTATATGGTTAATTAATAACTGTTTTAATATTTTGTTTCACAACTCTATATTCCAATTACAGATTCGCTCAGACAGCTATGGATCAAACCTCAGGTATAAAATTAATGTAGTCTTCCCAGTAATCAGGAAACAGCATATTGGCTCCTTTCCCCTCATAGAACCACTCTAGCTCTTCCCTAGTACGAGAAAACAAGAAACAATTTAGATTTTTAAAAGAACTCAGAAAAATTATATGTTTAAAGATGTGTAAAAGAAACAACTTATTTACAATAAATTTTTTATCATATTTTTAGAACTAGAGATACCTCTTGATAAAATCTAATTTAGGGCCATCTACAAAATTCTAAAATTTGTGTGAGTTAATTTTTTTACCATCTCTGTCAACCACTCCAAGTGATCTTAATGCAGTGCATTTTATAAGGCCTTCCTTAAAACATTGTCTTTAAAACTTTGTTTAGCCCTATCAAAGGAATAATTTGTATGACAAATATATACCGGTATTCTATATTATATACCGGTACGGGTAACTCAAATTATGTGAAATTTGAGTACGGTACTGTAACTGAAACTAAATTGTCCAGAGAATAATAATATAGAAAACACAAGTTTTATCTCAGTGCTGCAAACAGTTGAGTCAAATATAATGCCATAGGTAGCAAACAAAAAACTTAAATGGTGTGCATGTGAGGTTCACTTACAGCTGAAATATTCCTCCTAACTTTTTATTTTCCCCACTAACATCTCATGTTCAAACATCTTTTTACAGGTAGTGCCTTTTAAAATGTATATGAATTCTTAATTAATACAAGTCGTTGCACACCATTAGGTTTAATTATCATTTTTTAACACTGTTATGTAGTACATTTTTCCCTGTGCCTGAACTTTATTTCACCCCATTTTAGATTCCTAGCAGACGGTAGCGTTTATTGTGGGCGTGGCTTAGTCTTTGATGTATCGTGTTTACTACCGACTTCCAATTAAATATGGTTAGTATGTCTACTAGTATCTTATGGAATGTTCTCGATTGTATTAGAAAAGTAAGGGTGTTTCTAGACGCGTCGGTAGACCCACATATATAAGGGATTGACAGGCACAGAGAGAAAAGGGGATTCAGATAGATATTATTAACTTTACGAGACAATTGTATTATTCTTTGTGTGCTCATATGTGTTTATTCGCATTCGTCATTATTAATTGGCACATTGTACTAATTGTGTACTGGTACAAGATTTTCCCATACTCTGTCAGTTGATGATTTGTAATTATATTTCATTTGTTTTGTAATTGTATTATTACTAAATTAAATCTTATTCATTTTAATTGGCAACTGTTTTTGCGTGTCGTATTTTTATTATTGTATTTCTCTATGGTATCGTCCTTTGTTAGGCACTGTTTGAACGAGCCATAAATTTAAAACAAGAGATTAATTTCTCACAATAGAAGCCAGTGCGTAACAAACACCATTAGGTTTAATTATCATTGTTGAACACCTTTAGGTTTAATTATCATTGTTGCACACCATTTGGTATAATTACCACTGTTGAACACCATTTGGTTTAATTACCATTGGTGCACACCATTTGTTATAACTATCATTATTGAAAACCATTTGGTTTAATTATCATTGTTGCACACCATTTGTTATAACAACCATTGTTGAACACCATTTGTTATTACTACCATTGTTGAACACCATTTGGTTTAATTATCATTGTTCATTGTTGCACACCATTTGTTACAACTACCATTGTTGAACACCATCTGGTTTAATTATTGTTGCACACCATTTGTTATAACAACCATTGTTGAACACCATTTGGTTTAATTATCATTGTTGCACACCATTTGTTATAATTACCATTGCTGAACACCATTAGGTTTAATTATCATTGTTGAACACGATTGGGTTTAATTACCATTGTTGAACACCATTAGGTTTAATTACCATTGGATAACTTAAATGGAAACTGTGGCTATTTAAAAAAATATTACCATTTAAAAAAAATTTACCTGCGTAAAGTAAAAATGCCTCTCAATATAAGAGCTTTGACACGTTCAGGGTGAGCTTCTGCATAAGCCAATGACAGTGTTGAGCCCCAGCTGCCACCAAATACTACCCATCGCTCTATACCCAAGTGCCTCCTTAAGCGCTCTATATCTTCTACAAGGTCCCATGTTGTGTTTTCCTAAATCAAACAAATTTATGAAAAAGTTATATGTGAGATTAAACGTTTTTGTTTCCAAATCTGGTAGTGAAACCAATAATAATAAATGTAAAATGGTTTCTACAGTATATAGGCCTACATCCTACTTTGAAATTAGTTAAGGAATGAGAAGGTACCAGTAATTTAGAGTAATAAGAGATAGTTCATTATTTTTATGATTTTTTGCTTATTTTTTTAAAATATTAACTCCAATAAAATCGGTTAAAGATAAATAACACTTTTGTATGTATGTATGTAAATAACACTTTTAATATTATAATTATCAGCAAAGTTTACCTTGATTTCAGCAGCTGGAGTAGATTTTCCAGCACCTCTTTGGTCAAACAAAATTATGTGGTATGCCTCAGGATCAAAAAAGCCCCGGTCAGTGGGGCTGGTGCCTCCACCAGGTCCACCATGACTTCAAAAACATGGAGAGAAATAAGATGAGATTCTTTAAAGGATCCAAAGAAATGAAATTTGTTTTCGATCACATTGTACATATTCAATTTCAGCACATAAAAAAATACATATTTTAATCAAAAAGAAAACATTTTACAATCATATATAACAATTTAATTTAAACACAAGACATCTAAAGTACAAGTATTTCTCTAGTTTAAAAGTCAGCCATCATAGACCAAAAAAATTAACTCCATTAGTGACAATAATGACTTAATTAGCGATGATTTATTTTGGTATTGGTTGGGGGGCGGGGGGGGGGGGACGCTGGTAAATTCTTACAGACTGGGGAACAAAAGAATTTGTATTTCTTATGATCCTAACTTTAAGTTTTAAGAGAAAGAAATCGTCCTGCTCAAGCTGATCTTATGAAACAGTGATGAAGAGGATGGGGTGTATCAATCAATCAAATTTTTTTTAGTTTTACACATTTTTCTTCAAATAGTTCTTCAAGTTCAAGCAGAGGATGTTTAGTTTGTGTGATATTGCTTCATTGATTAGTCATTTATCATGTTTTTGATGTCAGACGATGAATTACCACACCAGCAGGTAATTCTGTAGTTACGTAGGCTTTCCATTGCTGCACTGTAGAATAAGTTAGTAACTTGTTTGTTTATATTGTCAGATATTGAGACAACTAGTTTTTTATAATGTCGGTGGTATCATCAACAAATTTTATGATTGGAACAGTGGCTAATCCTGGAGTTGAGCGTCCAAAATTATATTTATCATTTATTTCATTTTCTGACCTACTTACTTTATTTCCTGTTTAAAATTGTTTAGTCTATTAGAAAACTATAAAATTCATTCATTAATAAAATTGTAATTGTCGGGAGACCACGCACACAATAGGAAATTATACCATTGGGACAGTTACTGGCAGTTCAGCAGGTAACACATGAAGCTTCAAATTTATCCTCTTTGATACCAGAACTACAAACAGATGATATGTGTATCCAGTGGCTAGCTAAGAGCAGACTCATCAAAAACTCTATTTTGTGTATTTTGGCATTCGTCTGCCTCATTAGTTGCTTACAGACAAGGATTAAATGATGTCGGATGGTCATGTAGAGGTTGTAACTTTGGTTAGTGGATTTGTTCCTTTTCTTTCTTTGAAGGTCCGAGCTTAATTTGTACTTCTGATGTATTTTTGGAGATATGACATGCCTAAGACAGTTACTGCAACTGAAAGTTATATTGATGCCAAAACTGTCATTGCCTGGTGCAATTTCTGTTGTGAGGAATGGGAAGCGTACATTATTTGACACTCCGGTGAAATTGGCGTAATGGACACAGCAGGTGATCCGAACATTAAGTAGATGGGACACGGAATTTTCATTGCAAGCACCATCGAGGTCAATGAAACAATGGCCACTGGGTGTTTGCCTGAATGGAAATAGAGTCAGGTCAATGTTTCCTGGTGGAAGTGCTGTTCCTACTTTTTGACAGCCAAATTTCTGGGCCATATATTCCAAGTGGAAATAATAGTTTTCTCCATACAGGTTTACTGACATTTATATTAATTATACAGTTTTCAACAGCAAACGAATTTAGTTGAAATGTCATCGCTGCATGAAACAGGTAAATATTAAGCGGAGGTGTAAAATGTGATATTTAAGAGATACCAACATGCAATATGATTAATTTGGAAGACACATTTTTTCTATGATCCCCACAAACACTTAAAGTGAAAGGCTTATTAATTAGCACCAAAGCGAAATTGAATATTCTATTTATCCCTATATTAAATGGTGATACGATAATTATAAACTAGGGTGAGGTAACCTATCGTAAGATTATAAGGAGAAAAGAATGTTGGTGCCTCATTGGGCAAGGAAATTTTAAATAGAAATAATGTGACAATTTTTTTGCACAAAAAAACAAAAAAACAGGGCATTTAAAATCTTTAATTTAAAACCAGGACATTTAAAATCTTTTGCACCATGTGTGTCCAAAAATAAATAATTATTGTTATTACACTCTAGCTCTTCTGTCAGTGAGGTATTCTTCTGAGAAAACAAATTATCATGATGCTAATTTGGATTAATTATAATACTACTTTTATTTGTCTCATTTACTCATGCCTGGATATCAGATGTACTCAGTCTTTTGATAAATTAAAAAATTAATAATTTTTTAAAATTTTTTAGTCATAAATTGTACTGGTTTCAGATTAGGACAAACTAAACTAGATAAACAAACCAGGACAATGCTCCAAAAACCATTCCTGTCCCAGTAAAAACATCATGAATGATCACCTTAGTGAAAGACAACTATGCTTGCTCTGTAGTATCATATAATAATTTTTGTTGCTATAATTATAATAAAATTATTTTCATCCAGTCATTTGTAATTGTGCAGGTGTTACCTGAATTGTGTGAATTCATGCATGTCATCAAACGCCTAGGTGTTCTATAAAATGCTGGATGTGTCTTTTGCGGGTAGCATACACATTTGATTAGTTCAAACTTACAAAAATAGGTATCAATGATTCCTTACACAAATATGACAGGTGTCCCTGATTTGTTTCCCGACTGTTCATAGTATAATTTGTGGATTTCTGAAACTTTTAGGAATCCACTATCAAATGGCTCTGTGATTGGGTACAAATTACGATACTCTCCTTGTTGTGCCATGGTACTGTAACTTTACAGAAAAAAATAAAAAATTGTATAAAATAAGAATTAGTTCATGCAAGTAAAAAAGGTAAAGCATGTTTGAAACAGTATTGAATATCTTATATGGCTCTATACTGATGTGTACTTCAGAAACTGCTCTCATTCAGAAACCAAGTTCAGATCATGGACATAAACATTTTGTTTACACTTTTACAAAATACATGTTTGGGTTAAAACAACTCTTTGTCGCAGCACTTTCATAGCCTAGGCCCTCTTCATTTGGAAATAATTAAGTTTTTCTCTTCCATGCTCTATTACATATAATAATATAAAGGTATTAAAAATATTGCTCAATTGCTGGAGCACTTTGATTGTGAGCAGACTGTGTACTTATAATTCTTCAATAATTATTCTGAAATTCTGTCAGACCATAAATAGCCAATTAATATCTTTAATAAAGTCAACGGTCACATATAAATCTGTTAGATCCATGATTTCTAATATTTTTTCAAAGGCTTTACAAAATTTTATTGCAATGTTTTCGTAATCATCTTCTTACTGTTGCTTTGTGTTTTTACAAATAACTCTCAAAATATCACAAGGATAATATTTAACCTAGTGAAAACTGTAGTCCACTGTATGTTTCTGTGCCTATGACATAATTTATAACATAATTATTTCATTTGGCAGAAACAAATAGCTGAGGTTAGTTAATTTCCCCCAACCACCACCGTAGAGAACTAAAAAAACAGGTTTCCATGCTGCCGAAAAGAAGTCTGAATTTCAATTTTACTGCCCTGTTAGGCTTTTAGATTTGATATTGTTAAAACTTACAGTACCCGTAATTGAAATATATTACCGGCACTATAGCAATATATTGCAAACAATGAAGGTGGTTAACCTTAAAAAATATCCTGTTTTATTTCCTATAAATCCAGACTAAATGTCTCCAATTAACCCCCCAAAATCTTTAAACTGTCTCCTAGTGGTGCACGCCACATGCTGGGAAGCACTGGTTTACAGTGTCTTCTTTTAATTATCTTGTCCATCAAATTGGCATGCTATTTTGTACAGACTTCATCACCATGGTTTCACTGGTTTTGTCTCTGGTTTCCTTCCCACCCAGATCAAGATGCTGCACACCCCATGTTTCCACACGAGTGATCAAGCACTGGGAGTCTGCAATTACCAGGTGGAAGTATTCAGTGTTGGGTCATCCCTCAGTCATGTCGTCCTGGCAGGTTTCACTATTTGCCAATTCCCTGACACCAACTGTCACTCCATTTATCATTGTTGGTTTGGGACATTTTAGTATTAGACTGATGATTTTCATGTCCTGGGTCAGCTGTATCTGTGCGAGGACCTTCAATTTATGATCCTGGGAGCAGAGTCTACAAGACCTTGCCGCCACAGTATTGTGGTAGGTTCCACATTAGGACTGGTCATTCATATGCATTCATGAGTGTCAAACTTTTAGGTCAACCACAGGGGAAGCATCACTGTTTTTTAATTCTCCTCTTTGTGTATACTTAAAAACCGTATCCAAAAATCCAAAAGAGTGCGGAAGCAACAGTAGGGGTGAAATAATTTGACTTTTCTTTGCATGTGGATGGCCCCCCTAAATAATATTGCTAGATTTTTATTTTAAAAAGTCAAAGTTAATTTAATATAACTTAAGGCTAATTATTTTAACAAACTGCCTATCTAGTAGATAAAGAGTGAGTGAGTGTGTTCAGTGTTGGTGTGTCTAATCAGCTAATTTTAATTTTATGTCTACTAAATATAGTATAGTGATAATAAAATTATATTTAATTTAACCCGCTTGAGACGGCGCCTTTTTTGACTGATGGTGCCAAAAAGATGAAGCCCTTTTCACAAGCCCAGCACTTACTTTGCAAAAAAAATGATAAAAAATAAACTTATTACTTTACAAATATAAAACTATATATATTCTAGTAGGGAATGGAATATTGAATGAACTATTATCATCTTTAAGAATCAAACTGAAATTCCAAAATTTATGCTAATGAGTTATCCTGATTTGTATAATTTATGCAAAAAATTTTGTTTACACTTAAAAAAGACATGTCTGACTTGCAGAATTTTGTTAGATTGTATCATTGTTGAAGCATAAATAAGTCCAACCCATTTTTGAATGAGATTCCCTTGAGGGCTGCTTATGCCTTTTGACATATTTCAAGGTCACATATTTTTAAAGCATTTTAGTTGTCACTGGGCCACTACACAGTAAAATATCAATGGAAGCCGCCATTAAAATGGCGAGATGAGCAAGAAATGTGAGAAACAATCTGATTAGCTGGTACAAAGACCAGCCAGCCAATCTTGAGACTCTGAGATAATATTTTTCGCTTCAACACTCATTGTCTCAAGAGGGTTAAAATATATTTATATAACTAGGCCTCTGTGATAGCCTTAAGCAGCAAGAAATTGTGCCGTATTAAGACCAGTGGAGGGCCCTACGCAGCCATAATTTAGCCTCCCCCAGTGGGAATCTCATTCATGGAGGGTGTGAAATAGGCTCACCCCACCCCGCACTTTTGGGTTTACATATAAGTTTAAACCTAATATCGTATAAACAATCATCATTTAGTTGTTCATCAATGTAGGACACTGTAAATAATGTGGCGCAGATACAATTGCGTAAACTGACCTAATACTAATTATTATGACTAATATGCTAAACTAAATTAGGCTAATTAATAACATAGTTATAGTACAGTATAGTAAATTGATAATATTTAATACAGTAGTCAATACATTAACATTGCAAGGTCTAGTCTAATGCTACGACGAATAATTCCCACTTATCAACTTAGACTTATGTCTAAATATTTATTATAATTTAGGCTAGGTTAAATTCGTATTCAGCATAGTGATAATCCTAATTCAGACTGACCGACAACACACCAACCTCCTTCCCTTTTACATAGGTACATAGTAAAAATTTTCAGTACCTTTGCTTCTTTAGCTTTTGACACGACAGTGACAGGCAACATTTAATAGACTGTGTTTCCTTACATTAAGTTACATGTCAAGTTGCCTTGTTAACTTTCTCTTTTTAGTCTTTGAACTTTGATTTGTCTAATTATAATACTTAAAAAATAAATAAGTTAAACTTAATATCTTAGAATTAAAATATCTATCCTCATCATCAGTTCTGGGTAGTAAGTAGTAGTAACTAAACTAAGTAAGTAGGCCTACTAGTAACTACTAGTACTACTGACTACTTGAACTACTTGCTTCTAAAAAAATATATAATTTTTTGACTTTTGGGGCGTTATACCACAAGAACTGGTGATTAGTAGATGAAGCACCGATTTTTATATATTTTTTTTTTTGGTTGTGCGTACTCGGTACTGTGTTTATTAGTTATTTAATTTAGTATAATTCAGAAACAAAATAATAAATAATAGTTTCAATAGTCAATAGTCAATAGTAGATTAAAAAAAACAGTGTCACGCCCACGTCATTGATCATTGAGAACTTTTCGGGAACATCTCTTTAAGGTCAATAAGATATTGTAACAAAGATACATTTTATTATTTTTAAAAGTGTTTCCTAATACTAATAAATTCTTCGTACTTGATACTTCTACGATAAGTTAAATTTGGAACGATCTTGGCTAAAGATTTGTTTTAATCGTCCTGTAGTCTAGTTTACAAGTTACATACTCTTCTTGAAATGAAATTACAATAACCACCCCAGAGGTCCTCAATTGATATTTAAGAGTGAACCGTCAAAACTTTTTTAAAAATTTATCAATGAGCAGAAAAAATAATATTTTAAGTTTCAATTAATTTTAATACTTTAACAATAATTAAGAAAGTCGTATATCTAAAAATGCAGGTTAAAAATGGGGACGCCTGCCACTTTTATCGCGTCGAATGTCTCCCTAAATCGATCCTTATGCCTAACTTGAACCCTAAATCGATCACTATGCTTAACCTGAACCCTAAATCGATCCCTAAACCTAACCTAAACCCTAATTCACTGCAACTATAAAATAAATAAAGACACAAAAGACGCCGTGGCAGCCGTCCTCGGTTTTAGCCAAAAAGCAATTAAAAGACATGTTTTTTTTCTAAATAATTAGTTCTTTTCAACTTTCATTTATTGATTTAGGCGTGATAACAAACTTTTATACAATAAAATTATGGCTGCATAAATAGGCCCATATTGCCCATACCACAGTGCCACAGTCATAATCAAATTATACTCATTGTCTGTTAAGTTTATAATTTATATATCACTCAATATTAATATTACACAATTATCTTGAGCCAAACATAATAAATTAAGTAACATTAATTATGTGCTTTAAATTTATTGTGAATTTTTTAATCAATGAAATGTAAATTTTAAAAAAATTCTGATCATGACACGCCAAAGTTACCCACTTTCTAAAAATAAAGGGCCGTATTAAAATAACAGTTACAGAATCAGTTCCAATAATTTACCCATAGGGCTGTGTGGTCACGTGACTTACTATTGCATTCGTCCTTCGCCGGTTCGCCATCATGCAGGCAATAAAGCAGGCATGTTCTGGGTTTGCTAGGGTTGCAAAAGTCGCCCTTTCATCCCCTATTTGTCAACAAAATGGAGCGAACTTCATTCCTGCATTGTATTCTGTCAGTAAGTATTCCAAATTTTGGATCTGATATTAATTTTTGTTAACGTCAAATCAATAATTAATTGTATACCGAACTCGCTTAGCTACCAAAACAGACACAGATAACCACCAGCCAGTGTTCCTTCTCAAAAGAAGCAACTCCTTTGATAGAGGACTGAGTTTTCTGTTTATATAAGTGTACATTTTTAACATATAAATACGAAGCAACGTTTGTTGTTTTCTGGTTTTTTTTTAAATGTGCAATACGTGACCTTAAGATAAAGTATAGTCTTCCACAACTTGGTTCATATTCTAAGCAATGACAAGTGGAGGTCACTACTAAAATAGAATTTCCTGGGTTCATAATAATACTTTAATATTCCATACTATATTGAACATGACATGATAAATGTGTTCAAATATAGGTAATCTACCGTTTTAGGGTCGCCAAGAAAAAATCCAGTTGTTGTGGTTTGAAGGGCTATTTAAACAATTAACATTGTTTTTTATGACTTTGTCAGTCATTGTTTATTTAAGTATTCATTCCAGCACATTTATTATACAAATGAAAGACAATTTTTTAAAATAGAAAAACTAAAACAATTTAGGTTAATTTAAATAAAACATTGAAGAATTTAAGCAATTTATTTAATGTGTAAAAATGAAATTATGCATAGTTCTCCCCCAAGGTGAAAATGAAGTTTTTAAAAATATGATTTCCACCAAAACGGGTTGCGAAACATGAATTCATGTAAATATGAAGGGAAAAAATAGCTTGTGCCAAACTGTCTTTTTCAGTTAGCACTTTGCGCGCATCCACGTTTTCCACATTCTGTGTATGGACATCGTCTGGATCAACAAAATTTAGTTGATGCACCACAACGGAGTGATCATATATACTAGGTACCCCAACTCAAATTTTTAAATACATCTAACACACACAAAGAGCACATCATTGGAAAGAGCTGGCTTTAAGCTTTCCAATGACACCAAGATGATCTTTGTATCATGTATAGGAAAAAAGTTATGATTTTTTTAGTGATTTATTTTTTACCTCTATTCGGCTTTGTATTTAATTTTTAAAACTGTGATCGAATTATTGCTCTGTTTGTACTATTTTGTTTGTATCCTTTTGGCTATTAAAGTTAGAGCGCTCAAATTTGGAGGAGACATGAACAATATAATGTTTAACAAAACAAAACACTTGAAAAAACTGTGATCGAATTATTGCTCTGTTTGTACTATTTTGTTTGTATCCTTTTGGCTATTAAAGTTAGAGCGCTCAAATTTGGAGGAGACATGAACAATATAATGTTTAACAAAACAAAACACTTGAACTGTGAATTAACTTATTTTATTTTATAAAATATGACTTTTTGAGCATATGGCGTGGATAACGTCAAGTGTCGAAAAATTTTATTTTACAAAAAAATGACATAATTATTAAACCAATAAAGCTATTGCTATAAAATTTTCAAATCAAACAGATAATGTACATCTAAAAGTAAGGCAAATTTAAAATAAATAAAATTCAGATCAGAAAAATTTATTAAATATTAGAAAAATTATTTCAATAAAAGCAACCACGGCCGAGAAATTTTTACATTTAAATACATAACTTTTAAAATAATAAAGCTACTGCAATGAAATTTTCAGTACAAATAGATAGTCACAATTTAAATATAATGGAATATTCAAATATTAAAAAGGTAATTAAAATCATGAAATACAAAATTCAAAAATGTCATGTAAGTTGTCGACATTGAAATTGATGTACCGGTGCATTTATAAACATTCAAGATATGGTTCGTGGCTCCGAGCTCTAGCAACTCTTCATCCTCACTAATTGGCAGATTAAAAACATCTTCCTCTATTGTCAAAATAAAATTGATTTGTGTCTGAATCTCCCTGAATCTCCTCCAGCATGGCAGTGCATGTCCTTGTTTGGAATCCTATGCCTATTATTGAAAAAACAAATAAATAAAAAAGATATTAGGAACACATAAAAAAATCAATATTTTTAAACAGGTTACACAATGTTCTTTAGTTGAGGAAGATTTATATTTATTAATAACATAGGACAAGAGGCTGTCTTAATTTCTTTTCATGTCACCTCACTCTTATCTTTCTATAACTATAATTAATAATATAATTTAGTACTGTGTGTATAGTCTATCATTTATGTATTACTGGAGCAAATATATGAACTATATAAGGCCTTAAGTAAAACTACTATTAAACACTGTTATTAAAAGTGCAAATTGAGGTAATCAAACTAGTTTATTATAATACAGCAAATATTTATTAAACTGTTTGAAAAACGTTTTTAATAATAATAATACCACTGTTTACATTAGAGATTTACCTCTTCCGGTAGGTCAAGTGAAAAAAAAATGGCTGCCAACGGCTGTTTTTAATTTTTTTTTCACATGTCGACAAGAATTGTAAATTCGTGCTATTATCTATATTGTTTTAAATAAGTGATTCATTTTTAGCAATATATAAGCTATGCATCAAAGTAATTTCCAAGTCCGTCAAGCATTTAAAAAAATTAAAAAAGTACGGCGAAATCACTTACCCCACTTTCACTTTACAACAGATCATCTAAGCGTAGTCGGATTTCCACTTTATTTATATCCTCGTAACCGTCATGCACCGCGGAATCAAAATAAAATAAGGAGGTTCATCTATTTTAAGAAATGACGCAAAACAACGCTAAGTCACGACAACTACCGAAAACGGTCAGCGCCGGCTGATCACAGCGATAGGTGGCGAATAGCCCGCGTCTTCCTACTGCCCGCGAAGCGAGTATTGGAGTGCCTATATATACCATGTCATATTTGGTTTATATTGGCATATGCCACCCAGCCGTCGGATAAAATCGGTGATCCTGAAGTAAAAATCTTTCGATGCACTCTTGTAATGTTGTTGCACGTCGGTCTTGCACTTCGATAAGAAAGCATATATCTAGATATTTTCCTGAAAATGTAGTCTTACCATACCACTTTAAAGTACTTATTTAACAAATTTACAATATATTTTTTTTAAAACCCTTAACAGAAAAGTATCCATAAGAGGTTAATCTAGCAGAAAACGTAATCTCATTATGGAAAAAAATAACCAAACTTTTGAATTTTTTTCACCTGTGGACCACCTTAAACAAGTATATATAAAGGTCTACCCACTGTAAGTTCACTTTTAAGTTTAAGTAACTTAGTCTAAGGTTACTGACGCTACAGCACTAAGCTTAGTCTGCATTACCAGTGATATAATATAATATGAAAATCTGTTATAAAAATATATACAAATTAATTTTACTGTGAATGATGAAATCAATTGGAAAAAATTCAAATCCTTAACAGTAAAGCTAATTGTCACTGTGAATCGACGAAGGAAGCTTTCTCTTTGTTTACATGTAGCGAAATGAAAATGTCATGAGGTCACGCTTCCGCAAAGGAAAATGTCAGACATGGACCAATTAAAATGCAAAGAATTGTTTATAACTATGAATCAGCCAATCATCTACCTTTGTGTACACATGCTACACTGCGTTTGTACGCGAATGGTTAGATTTAGATAAATTAGTCATTGGAATGGCATTCTTTGTGTGATGTTAAGCTTTCCAACAATACCAAATATAAAATGAAACCCGGGGTTTCCGCGCAAACGATTGTTAAACAGTTCATTTGGCATCAGTTGTAAACAAAAATATAGACCCCCTACCCCTTCAAATCACAAATATGTTAAATTTATATAATTTTTTTATTTTACTATATTATAATAAAGACACAAATCCAATAGAAAATACAAATTTTCAAGAATTGATAGACTATTTTTGTCAAATTTCAATTATTTTGTGACCCATGGATCTTCTTAATATGATGGGCAAGAAAAATGGCTGCTTAAAATTGATGAAATATGAGAGAGTACAGAAATGCTCCAGGAAAACTTAGGAGCTAAAAACATTGCGCCTGTTCTAAAAGAAGTGCTTAATTTTGTTATAAAGTGTATCACTGTTAAGGCTAATTCCAAATGTGAACGTCTCTTCAAGCTATTGTCTGAAGAACAAAATGCAGACTATGTGACACTTTTACCTCACACTGAAGTAAGATTGCTTTCGAAAGGGAATTGCTTGTAAAGATTTATGGACCTAGTTGATACTCAGGCGATTTTTTTAAGTGACAAACCTGATTATGAAGTATCTGAACGGTCGATGGTAAAGCATTTGTGAGTTATTTAGCCAATATCTTTAAATAAAATAAATGTATTAAATAACCGACTTCATGGAACAAATAAAACTCTTGTTGAAGCAAAAGCGGAGATATTTGGTTCGTTACATATGTGCCATAAAAATATTTACAACAAAATTTTGAAAAGTTTCATTGGCTCCAAAAATGTGAAGTGACTGATACCGTTATACTTGTTGTTGTCAATCATCTGAAAATTCTTATGGCTAATTTTAAAGAAAGATTTTCTGATTTGAAACAAATTGATTTTCCAACTTGTGTTGTGCAGCCAATGATGTTCGATTTCTCTGATACTTCAAACATGCAGTATCAAGAAGAACTCTCAGAAATGCAAAATGAAGAGTCTGTTAAAACTTTATTAAATATGAAAGAAGCGATGGCATTGCTTTGTGAAGAAACATAAATCAAATATCCAAATTCAACCAAATGTGCAAGAAAACTTTTCCCGTTTCCATCTTCATATTTAGCTGAATGTGGATTTAGTGCCATAAAAGTTACTGTTTTCTCACCGATTTCTTCCTAAAACCTATCAATTAAGCTTCTTCAGTGAACAACCCTTATTAAAAATTATGTTTATGATACATGAGGGGCATAAGAATTTTAGAAAGACTTAGGTGAGGCATGGCACAAAAATGCTTTGGAAACACGGGTCTATTGGGTCTATTTTGCATGAACTTTGCCCCCCAAGTCTAATCTTTCTCTTGCTATGCTATTTTGAAATACATTTTTAACGACTTTAAATTACATTTTAATGCAAATGGTAAAGCCAAAATATTAATTAGATGTTTATCTATTAGAAAAGCCAAATTGTATCCATCGCTTATTACTGATATTAAATGTTAACACATACAAATTATGAAATTTTAAAAGTTAGTCTAATTATGCAAGACTGCTATGGCAGCAGTTCTAATAGGGCATAATGTCCTATTCTTATGTTAGTAAACATTATTTTTCAGAAAGGAATTATGCTAAAGAAGCTGCACAGCCCAAAACAGCTCTTCCAGTTGGACGTGTAGTTGCAGTTATTGGTGCAGTTGTTGATGTCCAATTTGATGATCAACTCCCTGCCATCCTTAATGCATTGGAAGTGCAGAATAGATCTCCAAGACTCATTCTCGAAGTCGCTTCACACTTGGGTATGTAGTTTTATAAGTAATGTATATTACAGTAAGTTAGTTTACATGTTGTTTGGGGGTCTTGTGAGTAATGAATTAGTCTACTTTTGCCTTTTAATTAACTTCTTTATGCAAATTACAGGTGAGAGTGTTGTACGAACCATTGCCATGGATGGTACAGAAGGTCTTGTCAGAGGAGAACTATGTGCTGACACAGGTTCATCAATTACGATTCCAGTTGGCCCCAAGACACTGGGTAGAATCATTAATGTCATTGGAGAGCCTATTGATGAAAGAGGGCCAATCAACTCTGAGCAGTACGTTATGATTCACATTTTAATAAACTTTGACTTAAGAATTCTTGTATTGTTATAATTTAAGATGTTAAAGCTGTTTACAAATCGGCGCTGTGACTCACAAGTTAGGTTTTCCAAATTTTACAGGAGGCGACCAAGACTTAATAACTTAAAAATTTATTGCACATGTCCATTTTTTTTTCCTTCAAATTTTGAAAGCCATCCGTATCCGTAAAAAAAAAAAATTGGAAATAGCATTACTGAAAGGTACATCGTCTGTACTCGATTAACCAAATGTTATATTGTTTTGTGCTAAGTTGTAGTGATGATATCCTTTTTATAAACACAAACATTTAACAATGGCATTAATAATTTCTTTTAAAAGCTATTCTTCAATTCACCAAGAAGCCCCTGCATTTGCTGACATGAGTGTTGAACAAGAGATTTTGGAGACTGGCATCAAAGTTGTTGACCTTTTAGCCCCATATGCAAGGGGTGGAAAAATTGGTACTTTTTTTTTTTACTTTATTCAATTCATTTAATGAACTGCAAATTTAACAACCCCTTTTGATAATTTAACATTTACATATAGAATGGCGCAGATTAAAATAAAAGATTTAGATCTAAGCTATTAAATTTACTACTTATTTTTCATTTGGAAATTCTAATGACATTTTTTCCTTATTAGGTCTCTTTGGAGGTGCTGGGGTTGGAAAGACTGTCCTTATTATGGAACTGATTAACAATGTTGCAAAAGCCCATGGTGGTTACTCAGTTTTTGCCGGTGTCGGTGAGAGAACTCGTGAAGGAAATGATCTTTACCATGAAATGATTACCACCAAGGTCATCTCTCTTACAGACAACACATCAAAGGTATTTTAATAAATCACAATCTTTATTTAGTATTTAAATTTATTTTCTGAAGTTTCTAGGATTAATACCTGGATATCTTTGAATGCTGACTTTAACCCCCATTTGTTTTTTAAATAAAATATATGCACATTTACTCACATAATTAAATATATATATTCTCTAGTGACTTTCTTGATTTAATTTTCACCTTTAAGCCATTTTTCAGGCCTGTTAATTCTTATGATTTTTTTGTTTACATTGTTTGTTTTTGAGATGTCTTTTACCATTGTACGCCAAGGCCTGTTAAGGCCATTATCTGGTTGAAAATAAATACATTCTGGTAGCTTTTCCTATTGAAAAATAAAATAATAATTTACTCTTTCTCTTCAGAGATACTTTCGGCATTCTGATGAATTATCTATTTTGCATATTTATTAGGCAATGCTATCTCTAAACCATCATAACTTTTTTTTGTTTTTCATCAGAAAATATTTGCACTGTATCCTTGTATGTACTAACATTTATTATAGTAAATGAAAAATTTAACATAAATTCTTCATATCTTTTCATCTGGGATTAGCTATGGTAGGCCTAAAAAAAACAATCTATAGGGATGTGCACTTAAGCTGGGGTCGGGGCTGGTTGTTCATCAGCATCAGCTAAAGAATATTTTGTCACTAGTACTACTAAAACTAGTACTAGGATTATAATTGTATGATTCTTTAGAATCAGCCTCTGCATCTGAAATCATAAAATCACTGTCTGAATCATCATCAGAGTAATATTTTCAACCTTTATTAGATTGATCACTAGATAGGTCGGGTCAAGATTTGATGTTTGTAAACAAAAAGGACAATCCAAACAACCGCTTCAAACACTTCGTTCTATGTAAAAACTTGTTCAAATAAAAATTAAAGACCAATAGCTAAGAAAAGAACTGTAACACATGTTATTACTGCCGATATTGCAATACTCGTAGTAACATGGTTAACTATTTCTGCAGTGGATGACTTGCCACTATCACACCTGAATAATTAATTCTTTCACTCCTCAAGCTGTCCTCTCACATAATGAAGTGGCAATGTCCAATGAATTTGTACAGTACTTTATTATAATTAATAACACATCAATAATAAGTCTTGCTAGGGGGATGTCCTGTAATAATTCTAGGATGCAATAATCACACACTTATTCAATATATCATATCACAATTAAATCACAATAATTCCATAATCCATTCTAGAGAAATTCAATATGTCTGCTCCTCCTTCAGATTAAAGTCATGCTCTGCTTACATAGGTGGCTAGTGAACTTCCGATCTAGATACTAGTTCCCTCTTTTCTCGTGTTTTACAAGTTATTATAACGTTACAATAAAATTACTATGCCATCCTGTCGTAAAAGTGTCATGTGTAGAATCACAGTCAACTTGGTCTGTTACAAGAACCGAAATAAACATTTTTTATACATTGGCGATATGCTAAAATCTTCATTTCAAATCGACGATGGGAGCGTTGATACGGAGAGAGAGTTTAATACATTTTTTCAGTTTGCAAATTAGCCTCATATTTGATCTTAATATTGGACTCAATTTTAAAAAAATCTTTTTCATGTTATTTTTAACATAAATACCGGTGTATATACTTGCATTGAAACTAATTTATTATTCTTAGATTTACTGATTACTATGATGAGAAATTATGAAAGCCCTATTAATAATGAAGGCACCTTCCTTGGACTGAGTAATCATTAGTTTTTCTTTAATTTTAAGGATTTTTTAAAAATAAAATATATTAAAAATATTTTAATTGAGATGAAAGTTTGAGTGCATCATTCAGACCTGTTTACTCTTACGATTTTGGCATACAATGTAGGATTTTGAGGTGTATAGATTGTATATACTGTATGTTTTTTTTTACTATAAATATAACATATTGAACGATTTTGTGATGATATTGTACGATTTTAAGAGTTTGAGGGTAAACAGGTCTGATCATTTATAAAGTAAGTTAATTCCTTGAACTTGATAAGTAAAATTGTAAACATGAAAAATTTAAACCAGTAGAATATCTTGTAGCAGATTGCATGTATGCGTTTATTTTAACTATATATTTAAAACTTTATCATTTTTTGTAACACTCGAACTAATAACTTATAAAAAGTGGTGTTTTTTTTTATTGAAACAACTCTCTATTACTCCTCTATATTATGATTACTATGATGATAAATTGTGAAAGCCTTATTAATAATGAAGGCACCTTCCTTGGACTGAGTAATCATTTGACTTTTTTAATATTGTTTTTCTCAATTTTTTAAAATCAAAGATATTTTTTTTAAATTTAATTATTGAGATGATAGTTGGTGAGTGAATCATTTATAATCCAGACCTGTTTACTCTTACAATTTTGGCGTACAATGTATGATTTTGAGGTTTAAACATTATATATACTGTATGTTTATTTTTACCCTAAATATAAGGTATTGAACAATTTTGTGAGAAATTGTACGATTTTAAGAGTTTGAGGTATGATAATGTAAGTGCATTCCTTGGACTTAAGTTATTAAAAAAAAAGGCATGTTTAACTTTATAATTTTTTTTAACAATTAAAATCTTAATCTAATTTTGTAAATATATGCGCCTGTTTAACCACTTTCTATTAGTCCTAGATTTATTCTATATCAAGTGTGGGCAAACTATGGCTCGCCCATCCACTTTGAAAAGCTTGCGCTCCCTTCAAACAAATACATTCAAATATTAAAAAATGGACAAGAAAAAAGCAACCATCAAACTTTAAATTTAATTTCACACAAAGACGTTGTAATGGTGTTATTTATTTGGTGCTATTTTATATATATATATATATAATAAATATATATATATATATTATGATTACAATGATGATAAATTGTGACAGCCCTATATATGATGAAGGCACCTTCCTTGGACTGAGTAATCATTCTTCCTTTTTTTTTATTAGTAATTACTAGATACTGAGATGATAGTTGGTGAGTGCATTATTTATGTTTGTGCATTCCTTTTTCAATTTATTTGCTTTATTCTGTTAATTTAAAAAATAAAAGTCCTTAAAAAGATTGTTTTCTTTTGAAGGTGTCTTTGGTGTATGGTCAAATGAATGAGCCTCCTGGTGCTCGTGCCCGTGTTGCCTTGAGTGGATTGACTGTAGCTGAATTTTTCAGAGACCACGAAGGACAGGATGTACTTCTTTTCATTGACAATATCTTCAGATTTACCCAAGCTGGTTCAGAGGTAAATTTTAGTGATTTTTCTGTGACACAGTTCTGCACAATGTTGTTTTTTTTTTAAATTATGGTAGCCGGCTATTCCCATTGCTCTTACTGATGTTTTCATGCTTGTTAGGCAGTGGTTGTACATGATGAAAATTTGTGAATTCCCTGACTGTCAATGAGGGTACCTTCCTTGGACTGAGCAGCCACTGTCACTTTAAATCAGTCTTGTTTGAATACTTTCATTATGCTTTGTGTTGCCTTGAAATATTTGAAAATTTTTGTTCAGGTGTCTGCCCTGCTAGGTCGTATTCCTTCTGCTGTGGGTTACCAGCCAACTTTAGCTACTGACATGGGTAGTATGCAGGAAAGAATTACCACCACCAAGAAAGGATCCATCACATCTGTGCAGGTGAAATAAAATAATTTTTTTGTATTCATATATGCTTATTTAAGTAACTTAACTACAATTTGATATCATAATCATAGTTTACTCAAGGTTAATCATAAATCTCATATTTAGGCCATTTTCGTCCCTGCTGATGACTTGACTGATCCTGCCCCTGCTACAACTTTTGCCCATCTTGACGCCACAACTGTGTTGTCTCGAGGTATTGCTGAGTTGGGTATCTACCCGGCTGTGGATCCCCTTGATTCAAATTCACGTATTTTGGATCCCAACGTAGTAGGAGAAGAGCACTATGCCACTGCAAGAGCTGTACAAAAAATACTTCAGGTGTGTAAATAATTTTTTTTTTTTTTAAACAAATAATCACCATATTCAAAACCCTTTTTGGGATAGTTATTACACATATGATTGTCTATGATGAAAAATTATATAGCCCTGATTACCTATGAGGGTTCCTTCCTTGGACTGAGAAATCATAATTATTTGTGTTACTCTTACAAAAGTTTGAATGCAGGTTGTTTCAATGGTATAATTGATCTGATTTTTAAAGTCCTTATCAATCTGTTTCTTGAATTGATCTATCTCTAAATGAATGTTATAATATTGACATTTTGTGACTATTTCATCATTTATCATATTTCATTCTCTGCTTTAAAATATTTTACTGTTAATTTGATCTTTTATATCACCAGTTAAGGCACAACATTTAATGTTTTGTCTTTTCTTTTGAGAGTAAATTAATTATATATTTATATTTTTTATAGGATTACAAATCCCTCCAGGATATCATCGCAATCTTGGGTATGGATGAGTTGTCAGAAGAAGATAAATTGACCGTAGCCCGTGCCAGAAAAATGATGAAGTTTTTATCTCAGCCTTTCCAGGTGGCTGAGGTATTTACAGGCTCTGAAGGAAAATATGTCCCTCTCAAAGAAACCATTAAAGGATTTAAAATGCTTATCAATGGTAGGTTGTTCTGTTAATTTAAATGCTTTTGAAGCAGGCATATGAATAGCACTTAACCACAGCAGCTTACCTGGTAAACTCTACTGAACTGAGCTAAGCAGTTTATTAGCATGGAAAAGAAAAAATTGGGTGTCTGCCTAAGAAAAAATACTGGATTTTGGGGTGTTTAACTCATTCCCGACGTTTGCGACTAAATGCGTCTTTTACAGGTTTCGCCAGATGCGTCCCGGCGCATAGCGACACACCTCTGTCTATTTAAAAATAGCAATGAAATCTCGCATCCCTCGAGACTTCCAGTGATGGCGTGGTTCAGCGTGATTTTAATTTAAAAACCAGAAGATTTTATCTTGTTTCACTTTAAAACTACGTGTGCTTTAGTACAGCGCGTCTTTTTGTGTTCATCCGAGGTGCCGAAAATCGATTTTTCGGCCATTGTTCGTTATTTTTTCCCCGCTAATGTTATATTTATATTAAACCTTATTCATTCTTTGTTGCATTTTTTCTTAATTCGTTAACATTAAATAATATTTAGCAGCTTAAATTAATATTTTACAAATGTAAAATCAATTGCAAGACGGAGTTACTTCCCTTTCTCAGGCAAATAAATGAAATATGGAAGTAGCATTGCAAGAGGGAATGAGTTAAATACACAGCAAAGTATTCAGTGTCATTATTTTAGTTTCATAATTTAGAATTAATAATTTTGCTAAAAACAGCTGTTAATAAATGATGCAATATTTTAATTCAAACTTTTTTTTAAAATCAAAAATCAATTTTGACTTATCATATTCATTAAATGCAACTGTGAGAAACAAGAATTTTTAGCTTCTGAATTTGCTTTCCTCCGGCCATGACATCATCTATTTTAGTTATCCACTTATTACGGTACTGCTGGAATTGAATTTTAAAGCTATTTTAATGAATTCCTACCTTAATAAATAATAAGAAGATGATCTTCGGTAGTAATTAAAGACCGTAATGCTAAAAGTCAGAAAATACACAATTTCAGATTATCAAGTTCAAATATTCTTTTCGTCTATAAAATGTGATCACTTTTCATATTTAGCCAGTTAGACTTGCGCATCAGACTTTTAAAGTTAAGTGACTTTTGTACTATTTAATGTGTTCAAATTTCTGTAGTACACTTGGCTAAACCGGATAAGAAAAGGTCACAGTTAAGTTTGATTTTGACAAAAATGTGACCTTAAGTACTTTTAGCACTAGGGTCTTCAATTGTTGCATAATTGTCAAGAGATGTTAGTTGTATGAATGTGATTGCATCGAGGAAGATATTCAAATTGCTTTTTTTAATCAGCAGCCTCTTTCCTTGATCAATAATCATCTACAATATTTTTAATTTGACAAACTAGTAGTTTAAAAAGTCAAACAATGTCAGCTATTTCATTTGCTATATATTTCTCAGGTGAACTTGACCATTTGCCAGAGGTGGCCTTCTACATGGTTGGAAACATTGAGGAGGTTCGAGAAAAGGCTGCAAGATTGGCCAAGGAGCAATCATGAGAAAATAGCACTTAGTAATTTCATTTTACTGTAATTGTTTGTGAGGATGTTAATATGATGGACATAGGCTAGCAATTGGCTTATGCCAGATAATTAATGTGATACAGTAGGAAACAGTTGTGGTCCAAAGTACTCTTGATTACATATTTGAAACAGTTAAAATATTAAGTTTTGTCTAGTTGAAGATATATTGTAACAAAGTGTGTCAGCGTTGTAAGCTCTTTATGAATGAGGTGTGAGGATTTTTTTTTCCACACAATTCCAACGTTCAAATTGAATGAGATAGTTAACACCTGTTCATCTAATTTTTGAAGTTGGAATTAAATATTTACTAAATAAAAATTATGGTTTCATTGTTTTAAATTGTGATGTTTGATGAGTAATCCTGAAGTTGTGCTCCATGCTGGCTTTTCTTTCCATAAGTTCAGTGTTAAGCACCTCCTTGGCTTAATGAACTTCATTTGATAGCACCTAGTTCTATGCTAATGATTATGCATCTAAATGCACACAATAAAGGGTTGGTTTAAGAAGTTACGGAAGTGATTTAAATATTATTGTTCGTCCGTCGAGGATCTACGAGGACCATCGAGTCGCCTGGTGACTGATGACTTGTGCGGGTGACTTTGTTTAAAGTGAAGAAGAGTTGCGCGGCGTCTACCTCACTCTCTCTTCCGAGCCCACCATATCCAGTGGCAAGACTCTACGTCAAGACGACCAGGGATGGGTTCGGTTGCAGGAATTGACATTGTTTACGCCTTAAGGGACTCCAGCTCGGGTTTGAATTCAGAGTTTCCTTCTCTTAGATGAGTTGCCGACCAAGGTTAACGGGTCTCATCCATTTAAATGTACACTACCAAATAATGTACGGTACATATCGCAGACCTGTTTACTCTTACGATTCTGGCGTACAATGTATGATTTTAAGGTGTATACATGTTTATACTGTTGGTTTATTATTTTACAATTAAGATAATGTTTTAAACGATTTTGTGACGATATTGTACGATTTGAAGAGTTTGATGGTAAACAGGTCTGATATCGTAAATTATTTCTTTTTTTTTTAACTTGAATTGTGACTTAATTTGTGCAGTTTGAATGGCTGGGCAGTAAACAAAACATTAAGACTTGAGTAGAATACACAATTTCCAACCATAAAAAGAAGAAAACAAAAAGGTACAATAGTGGCTGCAGCAGTTTTCTCGAATTTAATGAGAGTATTGCTGCTGCATCGCTGAAAAATTATAACCTTTTTTTTTTTATATTTCGTGGAGTTAGGATTTTGGCCTGTCGCAGGCAATACTAACCCTAGCTACTCAGCTAACATTGCACTTGAGTTAAGTTATAGTCGCACAAATAGAAAGAGGTCCCAGAGATACAACAGAAAGAGGTCTCAGAGATCCAACAGAAAGGGGTCCCAGAAATACAACTGAAAGGGGTCCCAGAGATACAACAGAAAGAGATCCCAGAGATCCAACAGAAAGAGGTTCCAGAGATCCAACAGAAAGAGGTCCCAGAGATACAACAGAAAGAGATCCCAGAGATCCAACAGAAAGAGGTCCCAGAGATACAACAGAAAGAGGTCCCAGAGATACAACAGAAAGAGATCCCAGAGATACAACAGAAAGAGGTCCCAGAGATCCAACAGAAAGAGGTCCCAGAGATACAACAGAAAGAGATCCCAGAGATCCAACAGAAAGAGGTCCCAGAGATCCAACAGATTGCTTTGATTTCTAGCAAAGTAAGTCATCCTATAATAATAATACACAACTACCCTCCTGGCCTGCATTCTTTCTCTTCCCTAACAAAAACAATAATTGAATTGAATAAATGTAAGTTATGTAAGATGATTATTTATATGCTTTATATTAAATTCGAATTAATAGGATAAACATAGCCGGATTTACGTCTAAGCTACAGCCTTGGGGCTACATTTGGGATGAGAAACGAATCGTCCAACATTTTTTCATTGTTATAGTATAGTGTGATTCGCAAAGAAAGAGAAAACGATATGTGTTGGTGAAGAAGGGAAGGGATAGAGATATAATAAGGAAAGGCAATGAACGAGCCATGGATTTGTCAGTGTTTAAGCGGAGCGGGTTGTAACGATTGAACTTAGCAACATTCATTAGAAACATTCAATAAAAAAATTCAATAGAAACATTCCATAGAAGTATTATACATAGAAACATTAAATAGAGAAACATATAAACATTCAACAGAAACATAGAAACATTAAATAGAGAAACAAAGAAACATTAAATAGAAACATAAAATAGAAACATTTAAAAATAAACATATATTGTACATGTATATTGATTTGAAATGTAATTCTTGAACCCGTGAAAAATGTAATTGGGCAAGGCACAAACGTGTATGCCAGTGTTTGAGAACCGTTTGTATTAACTGTGTGTACCAGTATTGAAGAACCGTTTGCATCAAATGTGTGTACCAGTATTTAAGATCCGTTTGCATCAAATGTGTGTACCAGTATTTAAGATCCGTTTGCATCAAATGTGTGTACCAGTATTTAAGATCTGTTTGCATCAAATGGGTGTATCAGTATTTAAGAACAGTTTGAATCAAATGTGTGTACCGGGTACCAGTATTTAAGAACAGTTTGCATCAAATGTGTGTACCGGGTACCAGTATTTAAGATCCGTTTGCATCAAATGGGTGTACCAGTATTTAAGAACAGTTTGAATCAAATGTGTTTACCGGGTACCAGTATTTAAGATCCGTTTGCATCAAATGGGTGTACCAGTATTTAAGAACCGTTTGAATCAAATGTGTGTACCGGGTACCAGTATTTAAGAACAGTTTGAATCAAATGTGTGTACCGGGTAACAGTATTTAAGATCAGTTTGAATCAAATGTGTGTACCGGGTACCAGTATTTAAGAACAGTTTGAATCAAATGTGTGTACCGGGTACCAGTATTTAAGAACAGTTTTTATCAACTCTGTGTACAAGGATTTGAGAACCGTTTGCATCAACTGTGTGCACGAGTATTTAAGAACAGCTCGTAACAACTGTGTGTACCAGTATTTGAGAACCGTTTGCATCAACTGTGTGTACGAGTATTTAAGAACAGTTTGCATCAATAATTGTGTGTACGAGTATTAAGAACAGTTTGTATCAATTGTGTGTACGAGTATTTAAGAACAGTTTGCATCAATTGTGTGTACCAGTATTAAGAACAGTTTGTATCAATTGTGTGTACGAGTTTTTAAGAACAGTTTTATCCGTTTATCTTCTATCGTGTGACACACAGATTGCGCCTTTTCCTTTAGTTATAGTACAGTACATAAGTCTTGGCGATAAGCTAGGTTTCAAAAAGTGAAGTTTATCGGCAAGTCTTTATGACACTGATAACTCAATTTCTTCTCCGCGATAGTAAAGTTTTTGCGCTTGTATCATACTGGGCGTATTATTTCTATCAACCGCCGGCGACACATCACTAGGCGAAACCTTAAAGTAAGTAAATTAATGACATTTAATCGTCACTTAGTGATTTAGTTAGATTGCAGTCCTTGTACAACACATGCCCGCTAGGTTATTGTTGACTCTGAGAATGCAGTCCTTGTACAACACATGCCCGCTAGGTTATTGTTGACTCTGAGATTGCAGTCCTTGTACTGCCCGCTAGGTTATTGTTGACTCTGAGAATGCAGTCCTTGTACAACACATGCCCGCTAGGTTATTGTTGACTCTGAGATTGCAGTCCTTGTACAAAACATATCAGCTAGGTTATTGTTGACTCTGAGAGGACTTTTAGTTTACCTTGTCAGAAAGTCACTCATCCCATCGTCTCAGTAGTCACTGAAATTGATCACTGACTTCAAAATCATCTATAATCTATTGAAACTGAGAGATTATGGATTGATGTGCCAAATATAATACCTTTTCTCACAAGGTTGAGCCGAGACTCTTATAGCATTGGCTAGCACATCACAGGTGAGCCTCATCTCAGAGCCGTCTCGTGACTTTAGTAGGGTCGAACATGTAGTACGATTACAATAATAACGAAGAAGAAATAAAGTTTGGAATCAAATACCCTTCAATATTTGTAATTTTATTTAAAAAAAAAAAAAAAAATTAAATATATATATATATATATATATATATATATTTTTAATACATAATAATATTTCAAACATTATTATTTATCTTGTTAATTGTATGCTTCAGTTTTGTCAAAGCGAGCCAATAACGATGATAATTGTGGAGCTCCTTCAACGCCTAAATCCATTTATATGTTAATTTATTTAGTTATCAATTAATTTGACATTGGGGAGAAGTTATCAGTTGTGCTGGTTAGAGCCACGTGCAGTTATTTTTAGCATTTGTGGATTTTTTCTTCGAATTCGTTACAATACGAGTTCTATTATATTTATTTCATTAGAGGTCTTGTGAAAANTTTTTTTTCCCCCCCCCCTGGAAGAATAATGAATGTCCCCCCCCCCCCCCCCTGGAAAGTTTTCTGCGGGCGCCCATGGCAGCAGTATATACATTAAATGAATATTAAATTTTTTTATTTATTTTTTTTGGTGACGGTAACCTCTGGACGTCGCATCGGCGTCATTTAATCATTTACTAATGAAGAAGTTTAAGCAAATTAAATATTTTAATAGATTTATTTTAGTTTAAATAAATAGAATACAAGATTACTATTTATTAACAATTTTAAAAAAGTTTAGAATTTGTCTGATACTCTTCGATCAAGAAAAGATCAACTACATTCAGATTTGCGTCAAAATGAATTCTTATTAAGTTTTAAATTATCAAAGATTTTCGGTAAGGGACTCAATGAGGGTAATAAATTGCGGGCCACGCTCATAACAATCCGGCAGGATTCGGAAAACCAGGGTAAATTACCTCAAATGGGGTAAAAATGAAAATCTTGTGGGTAATGAGGGGCTCAAAAGGCATTTAGAAGCGCATTTCTTGTTAAGTCTTGACGGCACGTCAAGTCTTGTATACGTCTTTTTATCTTATGCACACTGACATCACTGGGGATGGTTTAACAAAGTGCAGTAAAAATCATGGTGTCACCCCTTTGGACTTCCCCATAGATATCCTCTGAGTCTACCTGCCTTTTTGGTGGCAACCTGTGCCATGGCACCCTGCTCTGTCGGTACCCAACTCTGGTGGCACCCTGTGCAGTGGCACCCTGCTCTGTTGGTACCCAACTCTGGTGGCGCCCTGCTCTCGTACACGACTTAGATATTTTATAAAAACGACTTGATCGATCTTTCGAATTTAGAATTTTCCATTTTAGTGCACCCTCTCGTGAGGGTGTCACACTGTACGGTGCGAACACCTCAGACACCTCTATTGACGCTACAATCTATGCTCACAACTCCA